GTCGCCATCTGCAACAAACTTTGTGTGAACTGCGAGGAAGATATAGGTCAAAAAAAAGCCGCTAAGAACTGTTGCGTTGGTGAGTAAACAGCGTCTGTGCGTCTTGCGTCTGTGGACTGCGTGACAGTCGTACGTAAACCACGTACCGGCGGCGCAGGCAAGTCAGTTACACTAGAAACGTAGGGAGTTTGATTGACAGCCTGTCAGCTCACAGATAACGAGGCAGTGTCGTTATCTATTGGCAAATGTTTAGCCCCACCACGTCCAGAGTTGATGAGTTTTTATTCTCTTTTTTTGGTCATCATAATTACAAGGCTACTGCATCTTTATAATCTATCACTGACAATTTGAAACAAAAAAAAATCCTCCATACAACCTTTAAGTGTTTAAATCAAGTGTTATTGGACGTGTGGCGTGTTTTTCGGTCACAGGTGAGATGACGTGTGTGTGTGAGTTGGTTTGTGGACCGGAGTCTCTGGTGTGAGTGTGAGGAGCTCTGATCCACTGACCTGATTCAGTCTCAGCGTGAATCAAACAACAGACGACTCGACTTTAATCCCAAAGACACAAAAAAAAAAAAAAACACTCAGAGGAATTTAGGACAACGAGGTCAGATTAAACTGCACCAGGAATGTCCCAGAGTGAACTTTTTACTACTACTACAAGTATCACTACTACTACTGCTACTGCTGCTACTACTATTACTATTACTATTACTATGACTGCTACTGCTACTACTACTACTACTACTACTACTACTGCTACTACTACTACTACTTACTACTACTACTACTACTACTACTACTGCTACTATTACTACTAAATACTACTACTGCTACTATACTATTACTAACTACTGCTACTATTACTACTACTACTACTACTACTACTACTACTACTATACTACTACATACTTACTACTACTATACTATACTACTACTACTACTGCTACTACTTACTACTCTACTACTACTACTACTACTACTTACTACTACTTCTACTACTACTACTACTACTACTACTACTACTACTACTGCTACTATTACTACTACTACTACTGCTACTAACTACTACTATATACTACTACTACTATACTACTACTACTACTGCTACTACTACTACTACTACTACTACTACTACTACTACTACTACTACTACTACTACTACTACTACTACTACTACTGCTGCTATGGCTACTACTACTGCTTCTACTACTGCTGCTATTACTACTATTGCTATTGCTACTACTACCAAAACTACTACTACTACTACTACTACTACTACTATTACTACTACTACTACTACTACTATTGCTACTACTACTACTACTACTACTACTACTACTACTACTACTACTACTACTACTCCAAAGCTCCTACTACCAAAATTACTACTACTACTGCTGATACACTGTGTCTACTACTAGTACTACTAACATTACCCCAGTCAGTGTTACTATTAGATTCACAAACTTGATTAATCCACAAGTAGTTACTTAGACATATACTACTACTACTACTACTACTACTACTACTACTACTACTACTACTACTACTACTACTACTACTCCCACTGTTACTACTGCATTTTAGATTAATCAGATTAAGTGTGACATAATCACATTTTGTCATGATTCATTTTCTGAACTGTTCAGACTAAAACTCGTGTCAAAGACTTTTATAGAACAAACACAGAGACATTTTTAAATCAAAATGTCAACATTTAATAAATAATTCTCAATTTCTACCAATAATTTACAGCAATACTTTAAAATATATTTAAATCTCACTGTACAATAGACATACTTGTCTGACTAGTGTACTAACTACTACAGTACTTCTACTCTATATTACTGCACTCCCTGTTGTTGTGCATCATTTGTATCAGACTGAAAAAACGTCACTGTGTATTTTTAAACGTGTGAAAACAGGAAGTGTCATCATCATCATCATCCTCATCGTATACTATGATACTACTACTGCCTGTGCAATCATAGACTTGATATGTACATTATGACTAATACTACTACTGCTATTAACAGTACTACTACTACTGCTACTACTACTCCTTTACTACTGCCTGTACAAACACAGACCTGTATGACTAATACTACTACTACTACTACTACTACTACTACTACTACTACTACTACTACTGCTACTACTATACTACTACTACTACTACTACTACTACTACTACTACTACTACTACTACTACTACTACTACTGCTACTATACTAACTGCTACTACTACTACTACTACTATACTACTACTATACTACTACTACTACTACTACTACTACTACTACTACTGCTACTACTACTACTACTACTACTATCTGCTACTGCTACTACTACTACTACTACTACTACTACTACTACTACTACTACTACTACTACTACTACTACTACTACTACTACTACTGCTACTACTACTACTACTACACTACTACTACTACTACTACTACTACTACTACTACTACTACTACTACTGCTACTACTACTACTACTGCTACTACTACTACTACTGCTACTATTACTACTACTACTACTACTACTACTACTACTACTACTACTACTACTGCTGCTATGGCTACTACTACTGCTTCTACTACTGCTGCTATTACTACTATTGCTATTGCTACTACTACCAAAACTACTACTACTACTACTACTACTACTATACTACTACTACTACTACTACTACTACTACTGCTACCTACTACTACTACTACTGCTACTACTACTACTACTACTACTACTCCAAAGCTCCTACTACCAAAATTACTACTACTACTGCTGATACACTGTGTCTACTACTAGTACTACTAACCTTATCCCCAGCCAGTGTTACTATTAGATTCACAAACTTGATTAATCCACAAGTAGTTACTTGGACATATACTACTACTACTACTACTACTACTACTACTACTACTACTACTACTACTACTACTACTACTCCCACTGTTACTACTGCGTTTTAGATTAATCAGATTAAGTGTGACATAATCACATTTTGTCATGATTCATTTTCTGAACTGTTCAGACTAAAACTCGTGTCAAAGACTTTTATAGAACAAACACAGAGACATTTTTAAATCAAAATGTCAAAATGTAATAAATAATTCTCAATTTCTACCAATAATTTACAGCAATACTTTAAAATATATTTAAATCTCACTGTACAATAGACATACTTGTTTGACTAGTGTACTAACTACTACAGTACTTCTACTCTGTATTACTGCACTCCTGTTGTTGTGCATCATTTGTATCAGACTGAAAAAACGTCACTGTGTATTTTTAAACGTGTGAAAACAGGAAGTGTCATCATCATCATCATCCTCATCGTAGACCGGATATGTATGACTAATACTACTACAACTAATACTACAAATACTTCTACTACTGCCTGTGCAATCATAGACTTGATATGTACATTATGACTAATACTACTACTGCTATTAACAGTACTACTACTACTGCTACTACTACTACTCCTTTACTACTGCCTGTACAAACACAGACCTGCTATGTATGACTAATACTACTACTACTACTACTACTATTACTACTACTATTACTACTATACTACTACTATTACTACTATTATTCCTATTCCTATTACTACTACTAACTCCTACTAATGCTACTACTACTGCTAAATACTACAGTACAAATACTCCTACTGCCTCTACAAAGATAGTTGTTTAGTCCCGGTTCAGTCCTGGTTTAGTCCTGGTTCAGTCCTGGTTCAGTCTGGTTTAGTCCTGGTTCAGTCCTGGTTCAGTCCTGGTTTAGTCCTGGTTCAGTCCTGTTCCTGGTTTAGTCCAGTTTGGTTCAGTCCTGGTTCAGTCCTGGTTTAGTCCTGGTTTAGTCCTGGTTCAGTCCTGGTTCAGTAGTCCTGGTTCAGTCTGGTTCAGTGGTTCAGTAGTCCTGGTTTAGTCCTGGTTCAGTCCTGGTTCAGTCCTCCTGGTTCAGTTCTGGTTCAGTCCTGGTTTAGTCCTGGTTTAGGTCCTGGTTCAGTCCTGGTTTAGTCAGTCCTGGTTTCAGTCCTGGTTCAGTCCTGGTTCAGTCCTGGTTAGTCCGGTTCAGTTCCTGGTTTAGTCCTGGTTTAGTCCTGGTTCAGTCCTGGTTCAGTCCCTGGTTCAGTAGTCCTGGTTCAGTAGTCCTGGTTTAGTCCTGGTTCAGTCCTGGTTCAGTTCTGGTTTAGTCCTGGTTTAGTCCTGGTTTAGTCCTCAGTCCTGGTTCAGTCCTGGTTCCTGGTTTAGTCCTGGTTCAGTCCTGGTTCAGTCCTGGTTCAGTCCTGGTTCAGTCCTGGTTTTCAGTCCTGGTTCAGTCCTGGTTCAGTCCTGGTTTCCTGGTTAGTCCTGGTTCAGTCTGGTTCAGTCCTGGTTCAGTCCTGGAGTCCTGGTTCAGTAGTCCTGGTTTAGTCCTGGTTTAGTCCTGGTTTCTGGTTCAGTCACAGTCAGTTTAAGTCACGGAAACGAGACACATTATCTGTTTTTTTTTTTTTCCATTATTCATCGAAAACTAAAAAAACGAAGGCGTTTGGAGTTTAAAAACACAGTGGAGCTCTTCCTGCATCACCACATGACATCACGAGGTGGAGCGGAGTGTTTGCGACGAGGAAACGTTTAAAAACAGCGTGAAATTGGCTCTTTAATATTTTCCCTCGTCTCTCTCTCCTGGTGGTGTGACTCTCCCTCTCTCCCTCTCTCTCTCTCTCTCTCCTAGCTCCTATTTCCTACCTCCTCGCCTCCTTTCCTTCCTTCAGAGACGCGGTGAAGTTCAGATCTCCCCCGCTCCTCGAACGCACCGCGCCCGAGTCTCCGAGGCTGCGTCATGGATTAGTCCTCGGAGCTCCTATCTCTATCTCTCTCTCTCGGCTCCTTCTCCAAACTCCTCGCAAAACAATTTTCATTTCAAATTTCAACTTTTTTTTTTAAAATTTTTCTTCTCAAATTTCTCAATGGTCTTCCTCGCCCTCCCTCCAGGATGAAGAAAGAGAAGAAAACGCGCGCTCTGTTGCTCATTTTGTTGGTTCATTTTGGCTCAGGTAAGACTGGAAGGACTTGGGTGGACTTAGACTAATCCCGTAGCGTGAGAATAAGGCGTCTCAGAGTGGCTTTATTTTTATTCACGTTTAAACATTTTAAAAGTGAAAAATTTGAGTTAATTGCCTTATTTTTTTTTATTTTTTTGGTTCTGTTCATGCCACTTCTGATGTCTTATCCTCCCCGTGTGGTGTGACCGAGAGTTTCTATTCTAGATGTGATTTTACAGAGAAATAAATGGTGTTTTTAAAAATCTAAATCAGGACTAAAACAAGACTAAACCAGGACTAAACAGGAATAAACCAGGACTAAAACGAGACTGAACCAAGACAGAATCAGGACTAAACCAGGAATAAACCAGGACTGAACCAGGGACTAAACCAGGACTAAAGCAAGACTGAAAGGACTAACCAGGAATAACCAGGACTAAACCAGGAATAAACCAGGACTAAAACGAGACTGAACCAGGACTAAATCAGGACTAAACCAGGACTAAACACATGAACAAACAGGACTAAACTAGACTAAACCAAACTAAACCAGGGACTAAACCAGGACTAAAGCAAGACTGAACCAGGACTGAACATGGACTAAACAGGACTAAACAACTACAGGACTAAAAGGAAACCAGGAATAAACCAGGACTAAAACAGACTAACAGAAACCAGGACTAAACCAGACTGAAACCAGGACTGAACCAGGACTAAAAACCAGGACTAAAACAAGACTGAACCAGGACTAAACAAGGACTGAAACAGGACTAAACGGACTAAAATGGAACCAGGACTAAAACCAAGGACTAACAAATAAAGAACTAAACCAAACTAAACCAGGACTAAACCAAAACTGAACAAGGACTAAACCAGGACTAAATTAGGACTGAACCAGGACTAAAACAAGACTGAACAAGGACTAAACCAGGACTGAATAGGGACTAAACCAGGACTAAACCAAGGACTAAACCAGGACTAAACCAGTGTTAAAATGAGACTGAACAGGAACTAAACCAGGACTAAAATGAGACTTAACAGGGACTAAACCAGAACTAAATCAAGACTAAACCAGTGTTAAAATGAGACTGAACAGGAACTAAACCAGGACTAAACCAGGTCTAAACCAGGACTGAACCAGGACTAAACCAGGACTAAAACGAGACTGAACAGCGACATGTAGTTGTTATGTTGTTTCCTCCTCAAAAACAGACCTGCAGTTGTGTTTTGTTTTAGTCTGTTTACATCTCCAGAGCTCAAAACGTTCTGTTCCACCTTGTGATGTCATGGAGTTGTAGTTTTCAAGTTCACAGCTCCTTTTACCTTTTGTTCAGTCGAGATTCCAGGCAATTCCAGGACTGAAATGATCCAAATGATTCTAGTGAAGGTGTGTGGAGTTTAAAAACACAGCGGAGCACTTCCTGTATCACCACATGACATCACAAGGTGGAACAGAGTGTCTTCAGTTTGAGAAAAGAACTCAGTCTAAATATGCAGGGTTTGTGTGTTAAACGTGTGAAAAAAAAAAAAAAAAAAACACACACAATTCCAGGTCTGTTTGTGATTTTAAACATAAATCATAAATAAATAATAAATAAATAAAAAAATATATGTAATAAAATTTAAATTATAAATAAAAAATAAAAACATAATAAATAAATATAAATAAACAAATAAAAATAAAATCCATAATAAATAAAATCATAAAATAAAATACAAAACAAATAAATATAAAAAAATTAAATCATAAAAAAATTAAAATAATAAATAAAATCGTAAATAAACAAATAATCATAAATAAATCATTCCCTTTAAATGTGCACTGTGTAACTTTTGGGGGTTTGTCTGCCGCCTGCTTGTCTCCACGGCGATATTACTGCTTTGCTTCGAATGTTCCACAGTACGGCATTTGCTCTATTACACGTATTTTGTTTGAGAAAATCAGAAAATCCCTCCACAGATCTGACCTGTAACTTGTCTTGTACCTGCGTGTATCTCCGCCGAGGAAACGAAACATTTGACGCCAAAGAAAGAAAGAAAGAAATGACATCATCTCCATGGAGACAAGCACAAGCAGAAAAGTTACATCTTTAAATGAAGTCGTGTTTTAAAATTCTGTCACTAATTATTGTTTTATTTATTTTCTTTTTTTTCCCAAAGGACAAACAGATTACGCTCCATATTTTTACGACAATGGACCGAGCAGCAACAACGGAAACATGGCTCTGTTCAGTATTTCAGAAGACACGCAAGTCGGTAAGAAAAAACAAAAAATTAAGTATTAATTTAGAGAATTTGAACACATTTTTATTGTATTTTCACAATATTTGGTAGTTACGATTAAAACTTTGTGTGTAACTTTTTTCTGATCTTGTTATTCCATCAAAAACCTGTGGAAAAAACGTGTCTTTACTGTGCGTTGGCTTGCCTCTCCACAGACCTGACTCTTATTTGGCCTGGAGGAGGTTATTTTCCTGCTTGTTTCCATGGAAATGTTGTTCTTTTGGCTGTAATGTTCCACAGTGTGACATAAAACTGAAAATCTGTCTCCGTGGACTTGTTCAGTCCTTCTTTGACACTGGTCCTAGTCCTGGTTTAGCCCTGGTTTAGTCCTGGTTTAGTCCTGGTTTAGTCCTGGTTTAATATTGGTTTAGTCCTGAGTGAGGTCTGGTTTAGTCCTGTTGTTGATCTGGTTTAGTCCATGTTCAGTCTTGTTTTAGTCCTGGTTTAGTCCTGGTTCAGTCTTGTTTAGTCCTGGTTTAGTTCTGGTTCAGTCCATGTTCGGTCTTGTTTTAATTCTGGTTTAGTCCTGGTTTAGTCCTGAGTGAAGTCTCCTTTAGTCCTGCTGTTGATCTGGTTTAGTCCTGGTTTAGTTCTGGTTTAGTCCCTGTTCAGTCTTGTTTTAATCCTGATTTAGTCCTGAGTGAGGTCTGCTTTAGTCCTGCTGTTGATCTGGTTTAGTCCTGGTTTAATCCTTGTTCAGTCTTGTTTTAATCCTGATTTAGTCCTGAGTGAGGTCTGCTTTAGTCCTGCTGTTGATCTGGTTTAGTCCTGGTTTAATCCTTGTTCAGTCTTGTTTTAGTCCTGGTTTAGTCTGGTTCAGTCCTGAGTGAGTCTTGTTTTAATTCTGGTTGAGTTCTTGTTTAGTCCCTGTTCAGTCTTGTTTTAGTCCTGGTTTAGTCCTTGTTCGGTCTTGTTTTAATTCTAGTTGATTTCTGGTTGAGTTCTGGTTTAGTTTTGGTTTAGTCCTGAGTGAGGTCTGCTTTAGTCCTGCTGTTGATCTGGTTTAGTCCTAGTTTAGTCCCTATTCAATTTTGTTTTAATATGGTTCAGTCTGGTTTAGTCAGTCCTGTTGTTTTAGTCCTGGTTTAGTCTGTTTAGTCTGGTTTAGTCCTGGTTTAGTCCTGGTTTCAGTCTGGTTTAGTTTAGTCCTGGTTTAGTCTGGTTTAGTCCTGGTTTAGTCTGTTTAGTCTGGTTTAGTCCTGGTTTAGTCCTGGTTTAGACCTGGTTTAGACCTGGTTTAGACCTGGTTTAGTCCTGGTTTAGACCTGGTTTAGACCTGGTTTAGACCTGGTTTACCTGTTTAGTCCTGTTTTAGTCCTGGTTTAGTCCTGGTTTAGACCTGGTTTAGTCCTGGTTTAGTCCTGGTTTAGACCTGGTTTAGTTTAGACCTGGTTTAGACCTGGTTTAGACCTGGTTTAGTCCTGGTTTAGACCTGGTTTAGACCTGGTTTAGACCTGGTTTAGACCTGGTTTAGTCCTGGTTTAGTCCTGGTTTAGACCTGGTTTAGACCTGGTTTAGTCCTGGTTTAGACTGGTTTAGTCCTGGTTTAGACCTGGTTTTAGACCTGGTTTAGTCCTGGTTTAGACCTGTTTTAGTCCTGGTTTAGACCTGGTTTAGACCTGGTTTAGACCTGGTTTAGACCTGGTTTAGACCTGGTTTAGTCCTGGTTTAGACCTGGTTTAGACCTGGTTTAGACCTGGTTTAGTCCTGGTTTAGACCTGGTTTAGAGTTTAGACCTGGTTTAGTCCTGGTTTAGACCTGGTTTAGACCTGGTTTAGACCTGGTTTAGACCTGGTTTAGTCCTGGTTTAGTCCTGTTTAGTCCTGTTTAGTCCTGGTTTAGTCCTGGTTTAGACCTGGTTTAGACCTGGTTTAGTCCTGGTTTAGTCCTGGTTTAGTCCTGGTTTAGACCTGGTTTAGACCTGGTTTAGACCTGGTTTAGACCTGGTTTAGTCCTGGTTCAGTCCTGGTTTAGTCCTGGTTTAGTCCTGGTTTAGACCTGGTTTAGTTCTGTTTTAGTCTTGGTTTAGACCTGGTTTAGACCTGGTTTAGACCTGGTTTAGACCTGGTTTAGTCCTGGTTTAGACCTGGTTTAGTCCTGGTTTAGACCTGGTTTAGACCTGGTTTAGACCTGGTTTAGACCTGGTTTAGACCTGGTTTAGTCCTGGTTTAGACTTGTCTTGGGGAATGTTCTGATGTTTCTTTTTCCGTGGATTCTTGCAGAAAGTTACAGAGTGTTGCTTTATTTTCACATTCAGTTCTTTGTGTTGAAAACTCTTCTTCTCTCAGTTCTTGTTTTTTTCGTGTGTTTTTAGGAGCTCTGATCTACGTGTTGAACGGCACAGACCCGGAGCAGGATCCCGTCAGGTTCGGTCTCTCCTTCGACAAAGGAACAAAAGAATATTTCAGAGTCGACCCCAAATCTGGAAACGTGACTCTGATTCAGGAGCTGGACAGAGAGGTACAGAAAACTCACTTTTACTCATTATTCAGCTCCAGTCAAATGAAGCTCATCGAGGCTCACAGTTAAAGGGGTAAATTTGGAGCCAGTTCTTTATTAGGAAGAGGGATTTATTTGCAGACAAAATAGCAAAATAAAAACCCCAGGATCATGAAGAACATACAACATTTTAAGACCAAAATAAGGATCATTCTGCTGTTTTTATCTTTTGTATGTGAAGCACTTTGTGACCTATGTTTGTGAAAAGTGCTGTATAAGTAAACTTTACTTAAGGCTTAGTCACAATAACCCACAAGGGCGATTGACCTGTACAGGTGCTGACATTATCTTGGCCCGTGGGGTTGTGTAGAGGAGAGAGAGTTTTCTAAGTGCTTCGTAGGGGTGGTGCTAGTGCGGCTTGTGGGATCCTGGGAGAAATTTCAGCAAAGTGGGGCATGCGAGTGTCGTGCAGGTCTTAAGACTGTCGTGAGGCAATAGTTCGCCAAACTTAAGGGCCAAACAAGGGTCACGTACAAGTCAAAATCTCGTACGGGCCACTTGCAACGCACTCTAGTCGTTTGTACGAGGAAAGTACAGGCCTCTCACGTGGCTCGTGTGAGAGTCTGAGGAGATGTGGCTCTTATCGCCGCGCTGTTTAATACTGGGCTCATCATCAACACTTCATCACATGGTTGGACCATGGCGATGCCAAGACGCTCTTACAACATGAGGGTCGTCTCCTTCCCTGTGGCCATCATGTTGTGGCCTCGTCTCTGATGCCTCCTCCTCCTCGGCCCGGGGACCTGCTGTGGCTCCTGCTCCTGCTGCAGTCTCCGGGCCCTCGGTGTCATGGCCCTTCCCCGTCCTCTTGTCCTTTTCCTTCCCTTTGGGCGGCATCTCATCGGCGAAAACTTGGTGCGTACAGTACGGCTGCTACGACTCGTGTGCGTCTGCACGGGCATCGCATCAGCTGTTATACAGGTTGTGTGACCCTGGCAGCTCGCACCAGGCATGTGACCCATAGGAACGACACAACTGGCCCGTCCGGGACCCGTGTGTGGGCCGCAGGAATTCAGGGCGTGAGAAAATGGAAAAACCTGTACGACACACCTGCGTGACGCACACTTGACCCGCACTTCCCCCGTGAGTGTGAGATACGTGTTTGCTACGAGCTGCCGCCCGTAGGCCGCACGCAGGAAAAAATGTGCATGAACATTTCCTCCCGATGAGCTCGGCGGGCGTCTACGAGCTCAGGGGGCGTCTACGAGCTCAGGGGGCGTCTACGAGCTCAGGGGCGTCTACGAGCTCAGGGGGCGTCTACGAGCTCAGGGGGCGTCTACGAGCTCAGGGGGCGTCTACGAGCTCAGGGGGCGTCTACGAGCTCAGGGGGCGTCTACGAGCTCCGTCTACGAGGGGGGCGTCTACGAGCTCAGGGGGCGTCTACGAGCTCAGGGGGCGTCTACGAGCCAGGCGGGCGTCTACGAGCTCAGGGGCGTCTACGAGCTCAGGGGGCGTCTACGAGCTCAGGGGGCGTCTACGAGCTCAGGGGGGCGTCTACGAGCTCAGGGGGCGTCTACGAGCTCACGAGCTCAGGGGGCGTCTACGAGCTCAGGGGGCGTCTACGAGCTCAGGGGGGCGTCTACGAGCTCAGGGGGGCGTCTACGAGCTCAGGGGCGTCTACGAGCTCAGGGGGCGTCTACGAGCTCAGGGGGCGTCTACGAGCGACGCTCAGGGGCGTCTACGAGCTCAGGGGCGTCTACGAGCTCAGGGGCGTCTACAGGCGTCTACGAGCTCAGGGGGGCGTCTACGAGCTCAGGGGGCGTCTACAAGCTCAGGGGGCGTCTACGAGCTCAGGGGGCGTCTACGAGCTCAGGGGCGTCTACGAGCTCAGGGGGCGTCTACGAGCTCAGGGGGCGTCTACGAAGTCTCGGCGGGCGTCTACGAGCTCAGGGGGTCTACGAGCTCAGGGGGCGTCTACGAGCTCAGGGGGCGTCTACGAGCTCAGGGGCGTCTACGAGCTCAGGGGGCGTCTACGAGCTCGGGGGCGTCTACGAGCTCAGGGGGCGTCTACGAGCTCGGAATCTTGTACGAGCCACTTGTGAGCCCCGTATGGATTTGGCCAAAACTCGCCCGTGAACTTCCTGTGGGGACCTGTGCCAGTTATTGTGACTAAGGCTTTACTTACTAATTGTTTTTTGTTTTGTTTTGTCTTATTTGGTTGTTTTTTGTTTTTGTTGTTGTTTTCTTACCAAAATCACGCAGCTCTTTAACTGTGCTTTACACTGGATTGAAACTGTAAAAGAGAATTTACATCTTCACTGAAACCATCTGTTTTACTGTGTTTTTGTGTTTTTGTGTTTTTCAGAGTCAGGATGAGATCTCTGTGTCTGTGAGCATCACAGACGGACGCAACAAGGTGAGATTCGTCATTAAACGTGTCATTCACAGATTAAAAAAAACAACAACACTTAATTAATTAAAGTCCTGGAGGAGCAGGAAACAAACATCCAAATGTTCTTAAACACAATCTACAGTATAACAGAGGGAGTTCAGTTTAGTCCTGGTTTAGTCCTGGTTTAGATCAAATTTAGTCTAAGTTTAGTCCTGGTTTAGTCCTGGTTTAGATCAAATTTAGTCTAAGTTTAGTCCTGGTTTAGTCCTGGTTTAGATCAAATTTAGTCTAAGTTTAGTCCTGGTTTAGTCCTGGTTTAGATCAAATTTAGTCTAAGTTTAGTCCTGGTTTAGTCCTGGTTTAGATCAAATTTAGTCTAAGTTTAGTCCTGGTTTAGTCCTGGTTTAGATCAAATTTAGTCTTGGATTAGTTCTGGTTTAGCCTCGCCCCAGTTCGCTCTTGTTTTAATACTGGGTTAGTCCTGGTTTAGTCCTGGTTTAGTCCTGTTGTTGACCTGGGTTAGTCCTGGTATAAATCGGGTTTAGTTTTGGTTTAGTTCTGGTATAGTCCTGATTTAGTCCTGGTTTAATCCTTGTGTTGATCTGGTTTAGTCCGGTTTAGTTCTGGTTTTTTCTCGCCCCAATTCACTCTTATTTAATACAGATTTATTCCTGGTTTGGTCCTGGTTTAGTCCTGGGTCAGGTCTGCTTTAGTCCTGGGTTAGTCCTGGTATAGATCGGGTTTAGTCCTGGTTTACTTCTGGTTTAGCCTCACCCCCAATTTGCTCCCAATTTAGTTCTGGTTTAGTCCTGGTATAGATCGGGTTTAGTCCTGGTCTTGACCTAGTTTAGACCTGGTTTAGTCCTAGTGTTGACCTGGTATAGTCTTGGTTTAGTCCTGGTTTAGTCCTGGTCTTGACCTAGTTTAGACCTGGTTTAGTCCTGGTATTTACCTGGTTTAGTCTTGGTTTTGTCCTGGTTTAGTCTTGGTGTTGTCCTGGTTTTAGTCCTGGTCTTGACCTAGATTAGTCCTGGTTTAGTCCTGGTCTTGACCTAGTTTAGACCTGGTTTAGTCCTGGTCTTGACCTAGTTTAGACCTGGTTTAGTCCTGGTATTTACCTGGTTTAGTCTTGGTTTTGTCCTGGTTTAGTCTTGGTGTTGTCCTGGTTTTAGTCCTGGTCTTGACCTAGATTAGTCAGTGGTTTAGTCTGGTCTTGACCTGGTTTAGTCCTGGTTTAGTCCTTGACCTAGTTTAGACCTGGTTTAGTCCTGGTATTTACCTGGTTTAGTCTTGGTTTTGTCCTGGTTTAGTCTTGGTGTTGTCCTGGTTTTAGTCCTGGTCTTGACCTAGATTAGTCCTGGTTTAGTTCTGGTCTTGACCTAGTTTAGTCCTGGTTTAGTCCTGGTCTTGACCTAGTTTAGTCCTGGTTTAGTCCTGGTCTTGACCTAGTTTAGACCTGGTTTAGTCCTGGTTTACCTGGTTTAGTCCTGGTTTAGTCCTGGTTTTTCTGGTCCTTGGTTTTGTCCTGGTTTAGTCCTGGTTTAGTCCTTGGTCAGGTCTGCTTTAGTCCTGGGTTAGACCTGGTGTTGATCTGGTTTAGTTTTTGTCCTGGTTAAGATCTTGTCTAGTTTTGGTTCTTCAGAATAAATTGCCTAAATAAAAGTCCAAAAATTCCTCAAGTAAGAGCGAAAAACTATTTAATTAAACTCGTCCTACTCAAACAGGAGTAAAAGTCTCGTGTCTGGCAACTCGTGGTACAACTTCTGGTCACGTAAATGTAAAATCTGAACACATTTTGTCTGAAGTTTTGTTCTTTTTCAGTTTGTAAAATCTAAAATGTTTTTGTCTGTTTATGTTGAGGTTGTGGAAACGGCCAGAATCTTTGTCACTGACGCCAACGACGAAGCTCCAGAGTTTCAGAACCTGCCCTTCATAATCAGCATCCCAGAGGTAAGACCGGGACTTTAGACCTGGTTTAGACCTGGTTTAGACCTGGTTTAGACCTGGTTTAGACCTGCACTGGTTAAGATGTGGTTTTACTTGGTACCAGATTTAGTCATGATTTTTGTGATTGATGTTTCGTTATGATCCTGGTTTAGTCCTTTAGTTTATTCTGGTTTAGGATAGACCGGTTTACTAGTGGTTTAGACCTGGTTTAGTCGTGATTTAGTCCTGCTTTAGTCCTGGTTCAGTCCTGGTTCAGTCCTGCTTTAGTTCAAGTTAAGTTCTGCTTTAGTCCTGGTTCAGTCCTGCTTTAGACCTGGTTTAGTTCTCATTTAGTTCTTGTTCTGTTCTGATTTAGTCCTGGTTTTGACTTAGTTTAGACGTGGTTTAGTTGTGATTTACAGTAGTCCTGCTTTAGTCCATTTTTAGTCCTGGTTTAGTCCTGGTTCAGTCCTAGTTCAGCTCTGGCTTAGACCTGGTTTAGACCTGGTTTAGACCTGATTTAAACCTGGTTTAGTCCTGGTTTAGTCCTGGTTCAGTCCTGCTTTAGTCCTGCTTTAAACCTGCCTTAGACCTGCTTTAGTCCTGGTTCAGTTCTGGTTTAGTCCTGCTTTAGTCCTGGTTCAGTCCTGGTTTAGTCTTGGTTCAGTCCTGGTTCAGTCCTGCTTTAGTCCTGGTTCAGTCCTGGTTCAGTCCTGGTTTAGTCCTGGTTCAGTCCTGGTTTAGTCCTTGTTCAGTCCTGGTTTAGTCCTTGTTCAGTCTGGTTTAGTCCTGTTCAGTCCTGGTTTAGTCCTGGTTCAGTCCTGGTTTAGTCCTGGTTTAGTCCTGGTTTAGTCCTGGTTTAGTCCTGGTTCAGTCCTGGTTTAGTCCTGGTTCAGTCCTGGTTTAGTCCTGGTTCAGTCCTGGTTTAGTCCTGGTTTAGTCCTGGTTTCAGTCCTGGTTTAGTCCTGGTTTAGTCCTGGTTCAGTCCTGGTTTAGTCCTGGTTTTAGTCCTGGTTTAGTCCTGGTTTAGTCCTGGTTCAGTCCTGGTTTAGTCTTGGTTTAGTCCTGGTTCAGTCCTGGTTCAGTCCTGGTTTAGTCCTGGTTCAGTCCTGGTTTAGTCCTGGTTTAGTCCCTGGTTTAGTCCTGGTTTAGTCCTGGTTTAGTCCTGGTTTAGTCCTGGTTCAGTCCTGGTTTAGTCCTGGTTCAGTCCTGGTTTTCAGTCCTGGTTTAGTCCTGGTTCCTGGTTCCTGAGTCCTGGTTCAGTCCTGGTTTAGTCCTGGTTTAGTCCTGGTTTAGTCCTGGTTTAGTCCTGGTTTAGTCCTGTGGTTTAGTCCTGGTTTAGTCCTGGTTTAGTCCTGGTTTAGTCCTGGTTTAGTCCTGGTTTAGTCTCATTGTTTTCCCTCTTGTTTCCAGGACGCGGCTGCAGGGACCAGTGTTTACAAGGTGGAGGCCACAGACAGAGACTTGGGCTCAGGAGGAAGTGTCTCTTATTTTCTACAGGTAACAAACAAATCATGTAGAAACATTTATATTTTCATCCATTTAAATTTACTTTTTGGAGCTTTCTACCCAAAAAAAAAAAAAAAAAAAAAAAAAATCAAAAACACATCTGAAGTGTCTTATTTGTCATCCATGCATGTTTGAGTAATCTAGCGATCTCTTATGGCCCCTATTCAAACCCTCTTTATAATATGATTGTAGTAGTTTCAGTAGGGTGATTGTGTTGTGATAGCGCTCTGAAGGGGGAGTGACTTAACACAGAGAGCGAGAGAAAAAGGGATTCAGAGCGTTGTTTTTGATTAATATAACGCACCGTCTTTAAAGGTGACGTATTCACTCACTCAGAGTTGGATGTACATTATGTTTGAGTTATCCTGTATTGTCCTAAAAAAATCAGTTTTCACCTACCACCTATCCCACCCTCTGCTCTGTACTTAGATGTGACTATTCCAGATTTACAGAGGACGATGAAATTCACAAGATTTCTTAAATATTTGATCTTTGATGTGATGTGTGTACAGTTGTTGGGCAAGTGACTTTAAAACTGTCATGTGTTATTTTTATTTCTGACGTGTTTCTGTCATTTCAAAGTGATTCGTTACATTTCAATATTTCTGAGTTTAACATGTAAAACATGACACGACTGTTACAGCACTTTTAATTTACTCAGCAAAATAACTGTGAAGATGCTGAACTTATGCACCGTATATGGACTGAACCAGGACTAAACCAGGACTAAACCAGGTCTAAACCAGGTCTAAACCAGGTCTAAACCAGGTCTAAACCAGGTCTAAACCAGGTCTAAACCAGGACTAAACCAGAAACCAGGACTAAACCAGGAACTAAACCAGGTCTTAAATTTAAAAAGGTCTAAACCAGGTTTAAATCAGGTCTAAACCAGGACTAAACCAGGACTAAACCAGGTCTAAACCAGGACTGAACCAGGACTAAACCAGGACTAAACCAGGACTAAACCAGGTCTAAACCAGGTCTAAACCAGGACTAAACCCGGACTAAACCAGGTCTAAACCAGGACTAAATCAGGTCTAAACCAGGTCTAAACCAGGTTTAAATCAGGACTAAACCAGGTCTAAACCAGGTTTAAATCAGGTCTAAACCAGAGCTGAACCAGGACTAAACCAGGACTAAACCAGGTCTAAACCAGAACTAAACCCGGACTGAACCAGGACTAAACCAGGTTTAAATCAGGTCTAAACCAGGTCTAAACCAGAGCTGAACCAGGACTAAACCAGGACTAAACCAGGTCTAAACCAGGTCTAAACCAGGTCTAAACCAGGACTAAACCAGGACTAAACCAGGTCTAAACCAGGACTAAACAAGGTCTAAACCAGGACTAAACCTGGACTGAACCAGGTTTAAATCAGGTCTAAACCAGGTCTAAACCAGAGCTGAACTGAGGTCTAAACCAGGACTAAACCAGGTCTAAACCAGGACTAAACCTGGACTGAACCAGGACTAAACCAGAACTAAACCAGGACTAAATCAGGATTAAAACAGGACTAAATCCGGACTGAACCAGTACTAAAACAGAACTGAACTAGGATTAACCAGGACTAAACCAGGTCTAAACCAGGACTAAACCAGAACTGAACCAAAACTAAACCAGGTCTAAACCAGGACTGAACCAGGACCAAACCAGGACTAATATTGGACTAGAACTTGCAAGGTGTGATCGGGCGTCACCTGCGTTAGCCCTTTGGAGCGTGGAGTTGTGCGTCGGTCCTTTCGCCCGCGGTCACCAGACGGTCTACACGGGCGCGTCTCCGGCGTTTCACCGCTGCTGATGTCGCCGTGATTTTAGCGAATTTGTATGAAGAAAAACGAAAAACCCTCCACTTCAATCCAGGTTAAAAAAGCTTTGTGACACGTGTTACTCACATTTGTACCGAGTAAAATATTACATGTTTTTTCCCTGTAATGACTTAAAGGTTGTATAGAGGATTTTCCAAGGAACGAGAAATCCAGCGACTGTTTGTCCTTTTTCAAATGTTGCGCATGTGTGAAACCCCCCCCCTCCCCCACAGCTCCTACGTAGAAACACCTCCTAACCTCCTCCTTACGTCAGAAACAGGTTTGTTTACAGCCGGTGCTGCACATGACTTGTAAACAACTAACTACAGTGTTGGTTAGACAAGACGGAGAAGTGAGGAGCAGGGGGAGAGCAGAGAAGAGTGCGTGAAGATTCCATGCGAATGAACTAGCTACAACACGCAGCAGCAAGCGGACTCTTTCTTTGCCTTGAAAATGACGTTTTCAGACATAGGATATCACTTTCGTGTCCTGAAAAACGTTTGTGTAGCTCTTGGAAATAAAGTACATTTTCATAATAAGCAGAAGTTTTCCTGTCCAGGAGTAATTTGTGGACCAGTGCTTCAGTCTTTAGACCCTTCGCGTCTGCTTCAGTCGCGCCATCACTGGAATGAATCTCCAAGAATCACCTTAGTTTGGCTTCGCTGCTTTTCCCCTTGTCTTCTTCTTTCAGCGACCTCAAAAACGGACTTTCTTTTGCGGCGAACTGCTCCTGGATTCTTGTCGCCATCGCAACAAACTTTGTGTGAACTGCGAGGAAGATATAGGTCAAAAAAAGCCGCTAAGAACTGTTGCGTTGGTGGAGTAAACAGCGTCTGTGCGTCTTGCGTCTGTGGACTGCGTGACAGTCGTACGTAAACCACGTACCGGTGGCGCAGGCAAGTCAGTTACACTAGAAACGTAGGGAGTTTGATTGACAGCCTGTCAGCTCACAGATAACGAGGCAGTGTCGTTATCTATTGGCAAATGTTTAGCCCCACCACGTCCAGAGTTGATGAATTTTTATTCTCTTTTTTTGGTCATCATAATTACAAGGCTACCTGCATCTTATAATCTATCATTGACAATTTGAAACAAAAAAAATCCTCCATACGACCTTTAAATTACTGCGTTACAGCAAAAAGCAACGCATCACAGTAATTTGTTACTTTTATAACGCGTTACTTTCAACACTGCGTCTGAGTAATTATGTCATTTTCTCCATGTTGTTTACACTATTTTAGTAATTACACCTCTGGCTTTAGGTGATAATAATAAAAATAATTGCATCCATTTCCAGCTTTAGTTTATACTTTCTAAAGCTGAAGGATTAAAGCGTCTAAAAACCGCGTGTTATTATTATTATTTGTTTCTGCACGTGCTCAGTGAGGCTCTGACCTCTGCCGTTAGCGGATTAGCCCTGACGGAGAACATGTGCCTCCCGGACCTTTTCAATTATAAAAGTAACCCGGGGTCAGAGGTCAGCGCATGAAACCACTCTGAGTTTGATGAAAATTGAAAATGCGGAATGTCGTCGGAGGATTAAGGGTCTGGGACAAAAGGGCAGGTGCATTTCTCTGTTTGTGTTTTTGTTCTTGTTTGTGTTTTTCATGTATCTGAGATCTCGGATCTCTCAAACTAAGTCCACTGTGTTCTTCAATACACATAACAGAGGTAGTTCAGTTCAGTCCTGGTTTAGTCCTGGTTTAGTCCTGGTTTAGTCCTGGTTTAGTCCTGGTGTTGACCTGGTTTGGTCCTGGTTTAGTCCTAGTTTAGTCCTGGTGTTGACCTGGTTTAGTCCTGGTTTAGTCCTGGTTTAGTCCTGGTGTTGACCTGGTTTAGTCCTGGTTTAGTCCTGGTGTTGACCTGGTTTAGTCCTGGTTTGTTGTTGACCTGGTTTAGTCCTGGTTTAGTCCTGGTGGTGTTGGCCTGGTTTAGTCCTGGTATAGATCGGGTTTAGTCTTAGTTTAGTCCTGGTTTAGGCCTCGCCCCAGTTCACTTTTGTTTAATACTGGTTTAGTCCTGGTTTAGTCCTGGTGTTGACCTCGTTTAGTCCTGGTTTAGTCCTGGTGTTGACCTGGGTTAGTCCTGGTTTAGTCCTGGTGTTGACCAGGTTTAGTCCTGGTATAGATTGGGATTTAGTCCTGCTTTAGTCCTAGTGTTGACCTGGTTTAGTCCTGGTTTAGTCCTGGTTTAGTCCTGGTTTAGTCCTGGTTTAGTCCTGGTGTTGAGTCCTGGTTTGACCTGGTTTAGTAGTTTAGTCCTGTGGTTTAGTCCTGGTGTTGACCTGGTTTAGTCCTGGTATAGATTGGGTTTTAGTCTTGGTTTAGTTCTGGTTTAACCTCGCCCAGTTCGCTCTTGGTTTAAATATTGGTTTGTCCAGGTCTTGAGCCTGGTTTAGTCCTGGTATAGATTGGATTTAGTCCTGGTTTAGTCCTGGTTTAGTCCTGGTTTAGTCCTGGTGTTGACCTGGTTTAGTCCTGGTTTAGTCCTGGTATAGATCGGGTTTAGTCTTAGTTTAGTCCTGGTTTAGGCCTCGCCCCAGTTCACTTTTGTTTAATACTGGTTTAGTCCTGGTTTAGTCCTGGTGTTGACCTGGTTTAGTCCTGGTTATAGATTGGGGATTTAGTCCTGCTTTAGTCTAGTGTTGACCTGGTTTAGTCCTGGTTTAGTCCTGGTGTTGACCTGGTTTAGTCCTGGTTTAGTCCTGGTGTTGACCTGGTTTAGTCCTGGTATAGATTGGGGTTTAGTCTTGGTTTAGTTCTGGTTTAACCTCGCCCCAGTTCGCTCTTGGTTTAATATTGGTTTAGTCCAGGTCTTGAGCTGGTTTAGTCCTGGTATAGATTGGATTTAGTCCTGGTTTANGTCAAGTTAGGTCAAAGGATCAACCTGCACTTCCTGGAGTTTGACGTGGAAGATGACACCGACTGCCTGGCTGACTATCTAGAAATCTACGACAGCTATGATGATGTGACTGGATTTGTCGGCAGGTTAGTTAGGAAAAATCATAGGCTTCTAAATACATTAAAAATACAATTTAAAAATATAATATACCTATAATAAAAAATAAAAATAAATATAAGACATTCAAATTTAAAGTTAGCCAATGTAATTTTTTTCTGATGAGAGTACATCCCTTGTTTGTCTCATGTTATTGCTTTGCTTGAAATGTTCCAAATTAGCATTAAGATTAAATGTCGCCATGGTAATGGCATTGTTTCATTTGTGGAGAGGTGACCACCTCACAGTGAGAATGTTTGTTTTTCAAGGTTTTTTTTTTTTTTTTAGCAATAAAACCCCCTATGATTGAATAAAGATAAATATATTTTTGGACATAATGTGGGACATTTCACCCACTGCAGTAATATCTGTGGAGACAAGCATGTGGCAAACCCTCCACCAGAAAAGTTACATAGTGGAACTATTAAGGAACTATTGCATTATGGTCTTTTCTGCTTTCAGATTCTGTGGTGACTATCTGCCATATGATATTTTAAGCACAGGTGAGTTTCCACTTTTACATAATTATTAGTATCATCACAGATAGAGTAGGTCTATGACATTATCATACACACAGCCGCATGTATTACACATTTAACATTTAATCTTGTTAATAATGTTAATAATAATGTTAATTTGTTAATTTCTTTTGTTTAGGATGACAAATCTTTATAAACTGGTAGTAGTAGTAATAATAAATAATAATAATACATCCAATAATAATAACTGAAATATGTATTGATTTTTGTAATTAAACTGTAATAAAGCATATTTTTCTCTATTTTTAGGAAACGTGATGACATTGAAGTTTTTGACTGACGCTTCAGTCACTGGAGGAGGCTTCCAGCTACGCTATAAAGCTTTCAATGCATCACTGGTTTAACACAACTGATATTGTATGAATATGTAACCTACGGTGGTACTATTTAACTTTTTGTAGTCTATTTAATGCAAATGCTTACCCCCACTGTGCAAAGATTTGGACTGTGCAGGTTCCTATGCTCTATTAATAAAGACTTATTTGCAAAATATGGCTTCCTTATTCTTAAATTATGTAGTTTATTTTGGCCTGTTAAACACGGGGTGTTGTAACTGGTGCAAGTTTACAAAGCAGCAAAGTCTGTTGGGGCATCCCAATAAAGTTGAACACTACATCACACAACAGAATAGGCAATTAAAATGACAGAAATGCTAAACTATATTAGCAAAAAATAGATGCTAAAAGAATGTCACAAGAGAACTTCTGCAGAAATGTATAGTGTTTCCATAGAACTATAATAAAATAAAAGTTTTTCATTATACACTACTCACAATAAGTTAGGGATATTGAGAGAGAGTGAGTGAATGTCATATATACAGTGTTTGTTTCACTTTAGAAACTTTTGGGATAGGGGGGCAATTGTTTTGGGGTGATAGACACACCTTATTTTGTGTTTTCCACATAATGGTCTCACTGTGTACAGACCCAGGAGTGGAACCCCACGAGTGACAGACTGCAACGATGACCAGTACCTAAGGACCTATGCACTCAGACATCGTTATGCAACTGCCACACAGCTGCAGGCCTATTTACGAGATGTGAGGGGTACTAGGGGTTCCAGACAAACCATTTGCAACCGACTCCACAGCTTTGGTTTGAATGCCAGACTCCACTGACACCAAGACACCGCCATGAATATTTGCAGTGGGCACAAGAACATGTGACCTGGACAATGCAGCAGTGGTCTACCATCCTGTTCACTGATGAGTGTCAGGTCATCTTGCACTTGGAGAAGGAAAGGTGAGCGATATGCCGAGGTCAACATGGTCCCCAGGGCTCACTTTGGTAGAGAAGGTGCAACAGTCTGGGCAGGCATCACCAGTCAGCGCAAAACAGATTTGGTTATTGTAGAAGGCTCAGTCACAGACATCATAGAACCCATCATTATCCCCCAATTCCACCAGCACACCTCCAACTTTCTGTTCATGGATGATAATGCTCCACCACATCGTGCCAGAAATGTCACAGCTCGACTTCAGGAAGTCAGAGTGCCTCATATGGTATGACCAGTACTGACCCTGACCTGAACCCCATAGAGCACGTCTGGGACCAGCTGAAGCAGAGACTGGATGATCGTACTCCACCCCCACGTGACCTGGCAGAAACCGCGTGTAGCACGTGTGGAAGAGTGGAACGTATTGCCTCAGAACAACATCATGAGGCTCGTGAGGAGCATGAGACTTCGCTGTCAAGCTGTCATTGCGGCAAATGGTGAAAACACTCACTACTGACATTGTGAATTTTTGTTACTTGGGGCTATTTTTGTTATTATCTAAATTTTTGGGGTAGTAAATATTAAACTAATGAAAATGGTGTTTCTTCTCATTCGTTATTAGTAATATCAAAGGGAACGTTTACTTATTTCATTAAAATTCAGACCAAATAGGAAAAGCACTCATGTAAATAACAATATCCCTAAATTATTGTGAGTAGTGTAGATCCATGACTGTTTCATACACAGCTATGTTTTCTTCCTGAACTGTCTTGAAACTCTCCATATAAGGTAAAGTGGGCGGGGCCGTTTTGACGCTCCGGGGTCAGAGGTAACTTCGTACGTCGGCGTGGTGCTTTGGCGCCAGAGGTTTCGCGGGGGATCAACAGAACGACACGAAACTGCTAAAGGAAGACGCAATAAACACCACCAAACTGTTATTTATTCAAAACGATATTTCTTCCGAGAGCTTATCAGAAGTGGTGTTGTGCTTCTTTCTGCTTTTAGACTAGCAACACAGCGGTGGATGTTGCGTCGCATGTAGTGTTCCCAAAACAGCTCCTGTAAGTACCATGCATGCCCTCTCGCCACCCTTTAGTGCTGTATGTCACTTGATCCAAACTTTGCACAAATAATCACGGTGCTTAAGCATTAAAAAACATTCAATGGGCAACTGTAGATGTGTGTTATAACCCTCACAGTGACAGTTTTGTTCGCTGAAGCCAGGCATGCAGCCTGCTAACGCTGCTAAACACAGGCAGAACGCACCATGTAAACGCTTTCAGAAACTTTTGCAGTTTTTCAGTCAGTTTTTTAGCAGCATATGTTACTTAAAGGTTTCATGTAGATGCAGCACGAGTTTTAAACCGCACTTTGCTCAGACACTAGAAGGAAACGGTTGATTGTGAGATTTGCATTAGCTTGCTCTTGGGCCACAGGTCTTGTTCGATGTGATGGCCTCTTTCTTCAGTGAACCCATGGTTATTTCACTTGCACCAGAGAAGTATTATTTAGTGGTTGTCGAAATTGTTGCAAAATGTAAACAAATGCCAAATCTTGTCACTCCTTAATCTCATCGAAATGGCTTGTTTACAAAATACTTTGAAGTAGGTTCCTGAATTGCATTGGCTTATTGACTATTGTTTTGTGATTTAGCTTACACCAGTATGCAGCCATTATTACTTGTTTCATCAAATAATGACTTTCCAGAATAGATATACTCCTAATTTTATTTTGTCTATTTAACCATACCATTTATTTCTCTCTCTCTCTGCATTTTCAGGGTTTGTGGAGAGTAGTCATAATGATGGCGACAGCGGTCCCGCCAGGTAACTCCAGTTTCCTGCCTCTGCTTGAGTCTCTGGAGGACAACACTGCGGGACAGTCTAGTCAGACCGATGCTTACCTCACCATTGCCAAGTATGACCCCACATTGGTTGGAAAATATTACAGTATTACAACTGCTTACCAAATGTTCCAACAATTTTTGACAATTTTTTTTAGTCGATTGAGTGGAGAAGAAGGGCGCCAGTTTCTGCCTGCAGTTGAAAAGCACTTTTCCCGTTTGGGTAAAATTATTTTGGTAAGCATTACATTTTATATACATATTTAAGCAAAAATGGATTTTGCATATTTCTAAATTGTTTGTCTGTTTTAAAGGCTCATATAAGTAGTACGAATGTGGAGTTAAGCCAAGCTGCCCTTCAAGCTTTGGGCTTCTGTGTCTATCATTCAAATGTCGTCTCAGGAGCGTCAGGTATTGTATATAAACATATTTGATCTATTAATGTACAAAATCTCAAATTTTCATTCACCTACATGTTTTTCATTTCCAGAAACCTTAGCAGAAGAAATACTATCAGCACTTTGCTCATTGGTGGTGAAGTCAACAGATAAGAATACATGTACCAGAGCATTATGGGGTGATCTCCAAGCAGAACTTTCCTTCAAAAATATTAGCAGCAAAAGTAAGTGTGTATTTTGATAAGTATAATATATTATTTTGTGTTTTGTATTTAACTCTTAGTGATGCAACTTTGCTACATAGGTACCTTCAGTGTTAAGTGCATTGGAAAGTGTGTGGAACAGAGAGGACATCCAGTCTGTTGTAATGGAACATGAAGCCCTAAATGTTGTGATCAGGTGAAGTGGGCTATATGTAAATGATTAGATTATTTTTATTATTTATTTTTTTTTGTTAAACATCATGTCATTATACAGGATGTTGGAGCAGGTACCCACACAGATGGGAGAAGGGGCAGTGCGGTGGGCCAAGCTGATTATCCCTCTGGTGGTGCACTCTGCCTCTAAAGTGCGCCTCAGGGCAGCAGCTGCACTGGAGATGGGCATGCCTCTACTACTAGAGAAACAGACACAAGTGGCTGCTATCATTGAACCACTGATGTCCACTGTATGTGTTTCCATATATGAGATGTACTTTATTTTGTCCTACTACCTCTATATTATGAGATGCATTTATTTATTTTTTTAACAGAAAATTGATCCCAGAGCTGCAGAAGCTTTTCATGACCAAGAATGAAACTAATGTTCTAAAGCTTTGGCCTTTATTTGTAAGATTACTTGGAAAGGTAAGACCTTGTTTTCTTTTGTAATGGTGTTAATTGGAGCTTTTAATTAAATCACATTTTTATTGTTTTCAGCTTTTACATAAAGGAGGTCCATTTATAAACTCATTGCTACATTTGGAGGAGCTTGGTTTCCGTAGTTCATCTCCAACAATTAAAAAAATAGCTTTTCTTGCCTGGAAGAGTTTGATAGACAACTTTGCACTTAATCCAGGTTGGAGATTGTTTTGATTGGACAAATTGTTGTTATACAAATTTTTCCAGCCTGGCTTTTAATCTATATTTCTCAAAATATGAAGATATTCTGTGCAGCTCTAAGCGTATGAAGCTGCTGATGCAGCCTCTCTCGTCCATCAATGTCAGGACAGAGCCTCTGCTGCTTACTAAAGTGGAAGTCTGGTGGTACCTGGTTGTTCAACTTGGTCCAAACTTGGCTCCTAACTTTGATGTGGTCAGTAATATCTGCATTACAATGGCTGTCTCTTTACTCAATTACATTTTGAATACATTTGCTCTTCATGTAAAATTGATTGTATCATTAATGTTGTACAATATATCGTACTTTCAATTTGTAGGTTTCAGTTCCTCTGCTCCAAAGCACAATTGGCTGTGAATTCGTCACAGTTCCTGGAACTCCATCTAGAGGTGGAATTCCAAATGGAGGACATGCACCTGGCACTCCCAAGAATGGTTTGTACTTTTCTAATGACACGTAATGACTTTTTAAAGCTGCGTTTATAAAAGACCATTAATCTGTAGTGTTTCATCAGACTAAGGTACAGTTTGTGTGCTGTTTTTAGCAGGTGCCATGGTGCTGAACACCTCACTGGGAACTCCACGGATAAACCTGAACTCCAGCGTCAGCGCTCCATTTACCTTCCCCGCCATCCAGCTCCTGGGTCTGGAGATGCTCCTGCACTATTTGATGGGCCCTGAGGTTGTAGCTGCTGCAGCAAAGAACAATCTTAACCTCAGCCTTGGTACAAGATCAAGTATACAACAGGATAAATACAATTACACCCTCTGTCTAAAATCCTGTCTTGACCAGTTTAGCCTGGTTTAGCCTGGTCTGACTAGTTTAACCTGGTTAGTCCTGGTCTTGACTAGTTTAGACCTGGTTTAGTCCTGGTATTTACCTGGTTTAGTCTTGGTTTTGTCCTGGTTTAGTCTTGGTGTTGTCCTGGTTTTAGTCCTGGTCTTGACCTAGATTAGTCCTGGTTTAGTCCTGGTCTTGACCTAGTTTAGTCCTGGTTTAGTCCTGGTCTTGACCTAGTTTAGACCTGGTTTAGTCCTGGTATTTACCTGGTTTAGTCTTGGTTTTGTCCTGGTTTAGTCTTAGTGTTGTCCTGGTTTTAGTCCTGGTCTTGACCTAGATTAGTCCTTTTAGTCTGGTTTAGTCCTGGTCTTGACCTAGTTTAGTCCTGGTTTAGTCCTGGTCTTGACCTAGTTTAGACCTGGTTTAGTCTGGTATTTACCTGGTTTAGTCTTGGTTTTGTCCTGTTTAGTCTTAGTGTTGTCCTGGTTTAGTCTAGTCCTGGTTTAGTCCTGGTCTTGACCTAGTTTAGTCCTGGTTTAGTCCTGGTCTTGACCTAGTTTAGACCTGGTTTAGTCCTGGTATTTACCTGGTTTAGTCTTGGTTTTGTCCTGGTTTAGTCTTGGTGTTGTCCTGGTTTTAGTCCTGGTCTTGACCTAGATTAGTCCTGGTTTAGTCCTGGTTTAGTCCTGGTCTTGACCTAGTTTAGACCTGGTTTAGTCCTGGTCTTGACCTAGTTTAGACCTGGTTTAGTCCTGGTATTTACCTGGTTTAGTCTTGGTTTTGTCCTGGTTTAGTCTTGGTGTTGTCCTGGTTTTAGTCCTGGTCTTGACCTAGATTAGTCCTGGTTTAGTCCTGGTTTAGTCTGGTCTGACCTAGTTTAGTCCTGGTTTAGTCCTGGTCTTGACCTAGTTTAGACCTGGTTTAGTCCTGGTATTTTCCTGGTTTAGTCTTGGTTTTGTCCTGGTTTAGTCCTGGTTTAGTCCTTGGTCAGGTCTGCTTTAGTCCTGGGTTAGACCTGGTGTTTATCTGGTTTAGTCCTGGTTTAGTCCTCGGTCAGGTCTGCTTTAGTCCTGGGTTAGACCTGGTGTTGATCTGGTTTAGTTTTTGTCCTGGTTAAGATCTTGTCTAGTTTTGGTTCTTCAAAATAAATTGCCTAAATAAAAGTCCAAAAATTCCTCAAGTAAGAGCGAAAAACTATTTAATTAAACTCGTCCTACTCAAACAGGAGTAAAAGTCTCGTGTCTGGCAACTCGTGGTACAACTTCTGGTCACGTAAATGTAAAATCTGAACACATTTTGTCTGAAGTTTTGTTCTTTTTCAGTTTGTAAAATCTAAAATGTTTTTGTCTGTTTATGTTGAGGTTGTGGAAACGGCCAGAATCTTTGTCACTGACGCCAACGACGAAGCTCCAGAGTTTCAGAACCTGCCCTTCATAATCAGCATCCCAGAGGTAAGACCGGACTTTTAGACCTGGTTTAGACCTGGTTAGACCTGGTTAGACCTGGTTTAGACCTGGTTTAGACCTGGTTTAGACCTGCACTGGTTAAGATGTGGTTTTACTTGGTACCAGATTTAGTCATGATTTTTGTGATTGATGTTTCGTTATGATCCTGGTTTAGTCCTTTAGTTTATTCTGGTTTAGGATAGACCGGTTTACTAGTGGTTTAGACCTGGTTTAGTCGTGATTTAGTCCTGCTTTAGTCCTGGTTCAGTCCTGGTTCAGTCCTGCTTTAGTCCAAGTTAAGTTCTGCTTTAGTCCTGGTTCAGTTCTGGTTTAGTCATTTTTCAAACCAGGTTTAGTCCCACTTTAGTCCTACTTTAACCCTGGTTCAGTCCTGCTTTAGTCCTGGTTCAGTCCTGCTTTAGTCCTGGTTCAGTCCTGGTTTAGTCCTGCTTTAGACCTGGTTTAGTTCTCATTTAGTTCTTGTTCTGTCCTGCTTTAGTCCTGGTTTTGACTTAGTTTAGCACTGGCTTATTCATGACTTAGTCCTTCTTTAGTCCTTTTTTTTTAGTCCTGATTTAGATCTGGTTTAGTACTGGTTTAGTCCTGGTTCAGTCCTGGTTTAGTCCTGATTTAGTCTTAGACTTAGACAGACTTTATTGATCCACACAGGAAGCTCACACATCATATAAAAAAAAATGTAATAAACTTCTAAATACATGACAGTAAAAAAAATAGCAAGTCCTGCTTCAGTCCTGGTTCTGTCCTGCTTTAGACCTGGTTTAGTCCTGGTTTGGTCATTTTTTTAAACCAGGTTTAGTCCCACTTTAGTCCTACTTTAACCCTGGTTCAGTCCTGCTTTAGTCCTGGTTCAGTCCTGGTTTAGTCCTGGTTCAGTCCTGGTTTAGTCCTGGTTCAGTCCTGGTTCAGTCCTGTTTAGTCCTGGTTCAGTCCTGGTTTAGTCCTTGTTCAGTCCTGGTTTAGTCCTGGTTCAGTCCTGGTTCAGTCCTGGTTTAGTCCTGGTTTAGTCCTGGTTTAGTCCTGGTTCAGTCCTGGTTCAGTCCTGCTTTAGTCCTGGTTTAGTCCTGGTTTAGTCCTGCTTTAGTCCTGTTTAGTCCTGGTTCAGTCCTGGTTCAGTCCTGCTTTAGTCCTGGTTTAGTCCTGGTTCAGTCCTGCTTTAGTCCTGCTTTAGTCCTGGTTTAGTCCTGGTTTAGTCCTGGTTTAGTCCTGGTTCAGTCCTAGTTCAGCTCTGGTTTAGACCTGGCTTAGACCTGGTTTAGACCTGGTTTAGACCTGGTTTAGTCCTGATTTAAACCTGGTTTAGTCCTGGTTTAGACCTGGTTTAGACCTGGTTTAGACCTGATTTAAACCTGGTTTAGACCTGGTTCAGTCCTGGTTTAGACCTGATTTAAACCTGGTTTAGACCTGGTTTAGACCTGGTTTAGTCCTGGTGTTGACCTGGTTTAGTCCTGGTTTAGTCCTAGTTTAGTCCTGTTTAGTCCCTGGTTTAGTCCTGGGTTAGTCCTGGTGTTGACCTGGTTTAGTCCTGGTTTAGTCCTGGGTTAGTCCTGGTAGTCGGGTTTAGTCTTGGTTTAGTCCTGGTTTAGGCCTCTCCCCAGTCCTTTTGTTTAGTACCTGTTTAGTCCTGGTTTGACCTGGTTAGTCCTGGTTTAGTCCTGTTTAGAGTCCTGGTTTAGTCCTGGTTCAGTCCTGGTTTAGTCCTGGTTTAGTCCTGGTTCAGTCCTGGTTTAGTCCTCTGGTTTAGTCCTGGTTTAGTCCTGGTTTAGTCCTGGTTTAGTCCTGGTTTAGTCCTGGTTTAGTCCTGGTTTAGTCCTGGTTTAGTCCTGGTTTAGTCCTGGTTTAGTCCTGGTTCAGTCCTGGTTTAGTCTCATTGTTTTCCTCTTTGTTCCAGGACGCGGCTGCAGGGACCAGTGTTTACAAGGTGGAGGCCACAGACAGAGACTTGGGCTCAGGAGGAAGTGTCTCTTATTTTCTACAGGTAACAAACAAATCATGTAGAAACATTTATATTTTCATCCATTTAAATTTACTTTTTGGAGCTTTCTACCCAAAAAAAAAAAAAAAAAAAAAAAAAATCAAAAACACATCTGAAGTGTCTTATTTGTCATCCATGCATGTTTGAGTAATCTAGCGATCTCTTATGGCCCCTATTCAAACCCTCTTTATAATATGATTGTAGTAGTTTCAGTAGGGGGATGCATGCTGATTGTGTTGTGATAGCGCTCTGAAGGGGGAGTGACTTAACACAGAGAGCGAGAGAAAAAGGGATCCAGAGCGTTGTTTTTGATTAATATAACACAGCGTCTTTAAAGGTGACGTATTCACTCACTCAGAGTTGGATGTACATTATGTTTGAGTTATCCTGTATTGTCCTAAAAAATCAGTTTTCACCTACCACCTATCTCCACCCTCTGCTCTGTACTTAGATGTGACTATTCCAGATTTACAGAGGACGATGAAATTCACAAGATTTCTTAAATATTTGATCTTTGATGTGATGTGTGTACAGTTGTTGGGCAAGTGACTTTAAAACTGTCATGTTTTTATTTCTGACGTGTTTCTGTCATTTCAAAGTGATTCGTTACATTTCAATATGACTGAGTTTAACATGTAAAACATGACACGACTGTTACAGCACTTTTAATTTACTCAGCAAAATAACTGCCAAGATGCTGAACTTATGCACCGTATATGGACTAAACCAGGACTAAACCAGGACTAAACCAGGTTTAAACTAAACCAGGTCTAAACCAGTCTAAACCAGGTTAAAACCAGGACTAAACCAGGCTAAACCAGGTCTAAACAGGACTAAACCAGGACTAAACCAGGTCTAAACTAAACCAGGTCTAAACCAGGACTAAACCAGGACTAAACCAGGTAAACCAGGTCTAAACCAGGTCTAAACCAGGTTTAAACCAGGACTAAACCAGGCTAACCAGGTCTAAACCAGGACTAAACAGGACTAAACCAGGTCTAAACCAGGTTTAAATCAGGTCTAAACCAGGTCTAAACTAAACCAGGCTGAACCAGGACTAAACCAGGACTAAACCAGGTCTAAAACCAGGTCTAAACCAGGACTAAACCAGGACTAAACCAGGTCTAAACCAGGTTTAAATCAGGTCTAAACCAGGTCTAAACCAGAGCTGAACCAGGACTAAACCAGGACTAAACCAGGTCTAAACCAGGTCTAAACCAGGACTAAACCAGGACTAAACCAGGACTAAACCAGGACTAAACCAGGTCTAAACCAGAGCTGAACCGAGGTCTAAACCAGGACTAAACCAGGTCTAAACCAGGACTAAACAAGGTCTAAACCAGGACTAAACCTGGACTGAACCAGGTTTAAATCAGGTCTAAACCAGGTCTAAACCAGAGCTGAACTGAGGTCTAAACCAGGACTAAACCAGGTCTAAACCAGGACTAAACCTGGACTGAACCAGGACTAAACCAGGACTAAATCAGGATTAAAACAGGAGTAAATCCGGACTGAACCAGTACTAAAACAGAACTGAACTAGGATTAACCAGGACTAAACCAGGACTAAACCAGGACTAAACCAGAACTGAACCAAAACTAAACCAGGTCTAAACCAGGACTGAACCAGGACCAAACCAGGACTAATATTGGACTAGAACTTGCAAGGTGCGATCGGGCGTCACCTGCGTTAGCCCCTTTGGAGCGTGGAGTTGTGCGTCGGTCCTTTCGCCCGCGGTCACCAGACGGTCTACACGGGCGCGTCTCCGGCGTTTCACCGCTGCTGATGTCGCCGTGATTTTAGCGAATTTGTATGAAGAAAAACGAAAAACCCTCCACTTCAATCCAGGTTAAAAAAGCTTTGTGACACGTGTTACTCACATTTGTACCGAGTAAAATATTACATGTTTTTTTCCCTGTAATGACTTAAAGGTTGTATAGAGGATTTTCCAAGGAACGAGAAATCCAGCGACTGTTTGTCCTTTTTCAAATGTTGCGCATGTGTGAAACCCCCCCCCTCCCCTACAGCCACAGCTCCTACGTAGAAACACCTCCTAACCTCCTCCTTACGTCAGAAACAGGTTTGTTTACAGCCGGTGCACATGACTTGTAAACAACTAACTACAGTGTTGGTTAGACAAGACGGAGAAGTGAGGAGCAGGGGGAGAGCAGAGAAGAGTGCGTGAAGATTCCATGCGAATGAACTAGCTACAACACGCAGCAGCAAGCGGACTCTTTCTTTGCCTTGAAAATGACGTTTTCAGACATAGGATATCACTTTCGTGTCCTGAAAAACGTTTGACTAGCTCTTGGAAATAAAGTACGTTTTCATAATAAGCAGAAGTTTTCCTGTCCAGGAGTAATTTGTGGACCAGTGCTTCAGTCTTTAGACTCTTCGTCTGCTTCATTCGCGCCATCACTGGAATGAATCTCCAAGAATCACCTTAGTTTGGCTTCGCTGCTTTTCCCCTTGTCTTCTTCTTTCAGCGACCTCAAAAACGGACTTTCTTTTGCGGCGAACTGCTCCTGGATTCTTGTCGCCATCACAACAAACTTTGTGTGAACTGCGAGGAAGATATAGGTCAAAAAAGCCGCTAAAAACTGTTGCGTTGGTGGAGTAAACAGCGTCTGTGCGTCTTGCGTCTGTGGACTGCGTGACAGTCGTACGTAAACCACGTAAACGGCGGCGCAGGCAAGTCAGTTACACTAGAAACGTAGGGAGTTTGATTGACAGCCTGTCAGCTCACAGATAACGAGGCAGTGTCGTTATCTATTGGCAAATGTTTAGCCCCACCACGTCCAGAGTTGATGAATTTTTATTCTCTTTTTTTTGGTCATCATAATTACAAGGCTACTGCATCTTATAATCTATCATTGACAATTTGAAACAAAAAAAATCCTCCATACAACCTTTAAATTACTGCGTTACAGCAAAAAGCAACGCATCACAGTAATTTGTTACTTTTATAACGCGTTACTTTCAACACTGCGTCTGAGTAATTATGTCATTTTCTCCATGTTGTTTACACTATTTTAGTAATTAAACCTCTGGCTTTAGGTGATAATAATAAAAATAATTGCATCCATTTCCAGCTTTAGTTTATACTTTCTAAAGCTGAAGGATTAAAGCGTCTAAAAACCGCGTGTTATTATTATTATTTGTTTCTGCACGTGCTCAGTGAGGCTCTGACCTCTGCCGTTAGCGGATTAGCCCTGACGGAGAACATGTGCCTCCCGGACCTTTTCAATTATAAAAGTAACCCGGGGTCAGAGGTCAGCGCATGAAACCACTCTGAGTTTGATGAAAATTGAAAATGCAGAATGTCGTCGGAGGATTAAGGGTCTGGGACAAAAGGGCAGGTGAATTTCTCTGTTTGTGTTTTTGTTCTTGTTTTTGTTTTTCATGTATCTGAGATCTCGGATCTCTCAAACTAAGTCCACTGTGTTTTTCAATACACATAACAGAGGTAGTTCAGTTCAGTCCTGGTTTAGTCCTGGTTTAGTCCTGGTGTTGACCTGGTTTAGTCCTGGTATAGATCGGGTTTAGTCTTGGTTTAGTCCTGCTTTAGTCCTAGTTTTTTGACCTGGTTTAGTCCTGGTTAGTCCTGGTATAGATCCTGGGTTTAGTCCTGGTTTAGTCCTGGTTTAGTTCTGGTTTAGTCCTGGTTTAGTTCGAGGTCAAACTAAGTCCACTGTGTTCTGTCTGAATCTGATTATAAAGCACTTTAATGTCTGGTAATCAGGAAATGCGCGTTAGCATGCTAGTTATTGTTAGCTTCATAGTCACAGAAAAAGTTCTCTTAAAGTCGTGAGAAGCTTTTATAAACTCATCATCGTGAGTCTTTAGGCTCTGGACGCAGAAGGAAAAGGTGAGGAGGAACTCTGACCACGACAAACTCTTTAAATGAACTGTGAAAATAAAGTACAGTGTTTTTAATTTGAAACGGTAGATGAAAAATAAATATTTAAACTGTTTAAATGTAACTGGTGAGGAGGAGGAGGAGATGGAGAGACTGAGGAGGCTGATGACTCTGCTGCTGTCACCATAGACTGTATAGAAATGGACATCGTTAACCCACTAGCCGCTGTGATCCAGACAGGAAGTGAGCATGGGGGCACTTCCGGCTCCAGTTGACTTTATATTGAAAAATATACCCCCCCCCCCCCCCCGTACCTGCTGCCGTGAGCCTCGTCATTTTGGTCTTAAAATGTTCATATTAACTTGCTCTACATCAGGCATGTCCAAACTACGGCCCGTGGGCCAAATGCGGCCCTCGGACAAATCCCTCAGGCTTCCAGGTGCTTTGGCCCAAATTACCTTGCATCAATTAAAAATGAATTTTTTACTGCAAGTTTTTTTTTGAAAATCTACTTTGATAAAGCCATTATTGAAGATTTAATGTGTAGGATTTTAGAATGACTGATGGCTCATTCTAACGTGTTAAACATGCACATGTTTCATTTATTCACTGTATTGAGTTCCAGTCTGTGGCCCTCGATCGGCCTCTGCTTCATCTGTGTTTAGAAATGTGGCCCTTGATGAAAAAAGTTTGGACACCCCTGTTCTACATGATCCTGCTGTTTTTATTTCACTATTTTGTCTGTTGATAAATTCAATAAATTCATATTCCTAATATGGAGCTTGACTCCAAATTCACTCCTGTAACTGCCAGCCTCGGTGAACTTCATTTGACTGGAGCCAAGCTCTATGTTATGAATATGATTTATTTTTATTATTATTTATTTTTTTAATGCAAAAAAACCCACCAGGGTCACGTGTCAAGGGTTAATACGAACATTTTAAGACCAAAATGAGGAGGTTCACAGCAGCAGGTACAGAGAGATCTGCAGCCAGAGTCAGAAGGAGCCAGAAGAGCCGTATCTGAACTGCCTATTTAACTTGCCCATTTCTTAATACAGTTTATGGCTGTAAAAGACGTAAAAGGCCACATGGATGATGGATCATTCTGGAACCTGCCTGTACGACAGAGGAATTACTCAGATATAAGAGCACCTCCTGATTTAAAAGCAAAACCTAAGTTGAAACTGGTATTTAAAAACACAATTAGTGTTTTTAATCATCATAGTCTATTTTTTAGTCTGGAAATGGACTTTGACATTTTAGTCTCATGATAACATCACAATAACAACACATCTGTGTGTGTGGAGACCAGTTAGAGTTTATTAGACACACAGGACAATATTTCAAGTCGTACGTGTTTGTTTCAGGCGTCGTCTTCTGTCCCGTTCACCATCGACCCTCACAGCGGGATCCTCCGAGTCCGACCGGGAGAAACTCTGGACTACGAGACCACGCCCACCCACTTCATCACCGTCATCGCCAAGGTAACCAACCAAACAGAAATATTACGGAAATGTACGTCAAATATTGAAGTATTTTTGCTCTGGTTTTAGTCTGATTTAGAATTGGTTTGTTCTTGGTTAAAGACTTTTCTAATCCTGGTACAAGCTTTGTTCTTGGTATTTTTTAGTGTTGGGTTAGATCTGGTTTAGACCTGTTTATATCCTGGTTTAGACCTGGTTTAGACCTGGTTAAGTCTTGGTTTAAACATAGTTTAGACCCGGGTTAGTCCTGGTTTATAGATGCCCTGATTAAAAGTCCAATCCTAGTTTAGTCCTGGTAGAGTCCATTGCTTGTCAAGTTCTGGTTTAGACTTTAGACCTTATTAAGTCCTGGTTTAGTCCTGGTTCAGTCCCAGTTTAGTCCCGGTTTAGACCTGGTTTAGTTCTATTTTAGTCCTGGTTTAGTCCTAGTTTAGTCCAGTTTTAGTCCTAGTTTAGTCCTGGTTTAGTCCTTGTTCAGTCCTAGTTTATTCCTGGTTCAGTCCTGGTTTAGTCCTGGTTTAGTCCCTGGTTTAGTCCTGGTTTAGTCCTAGTTTAGTCCTGCTTTAGACCTGGTTTGGTCCTGGTTTAGTCCTGCTTTAGACCTGGTTTAATCCTGGTTCAGTCCTGATTCAGTCCTGGTTCAGTCCCAGTTTAGTCCTGGTTTGGTCCTGGTTCGATCCTGGTTCAGTCCTGGTTCAGTCCTGGTTTCAGTCCTGGTTTAGTCCTGGTTTAGGTTCAGTCCTGGTTTAGTCCTGGTTTAGTCCTGGTTTAGTCCTGGTTCAGTCCTGTTTTTAGTCCTGGTTTAGTCCTGGTTCAGTCCTGGTTTTCCTGGTTTTGGTTTTAGTCCTGGTTTAGTCCTGGTTCAGTCCTGGTTTAGTCCTGGTTCAGTCCTGGTTTAGTCCTGGTTTAGACCTGGTTTAGTCCCGGTTTAGTCCTGGTTCAGTCCTGGTTCAGTCCTGGTTTAGTCCTGGTTTAGTCCTGGTTTAGTCCTGGTTCAGTCCTGGTTTAGTCCTGGTTTAGTCCTGGTTTAGTCCTGGTTTAGTCCTGGTTTAGTTCCTAGTCGTATTTCTCTTTCACCAAACCATCTGTCGGTGACACTTGTGCACCTGTGTAACCGGCGGCCATTTTGATCTTGTCACTTCCTGTTGTCCCTCGTCGCGTTTCCACGGCGACGCGGCCATGATGTCGTGAGGTGTAAAGTTGTGATGCACAGAGTGATTTTCACCTCACGACATCACACGAGGAAACAAAACACAAGCTACAAACGAGAAAAGTGTCATTCCCCCGTCTGGGTCGCTGCCGGATCTGCGTCGCTGCCGGATCTGCAGATCTGCGTCAGTCACACTCCACCTTCATTTCACTTTAATTTCACAATTTTACTCACCAGAAACGGTTAAATTTATTGATTCAAGTTAAAGGCGCACTGTGTAACCTGCTTGTTTCTATGGATACGTCATTGCTCTGCCTGGAGCGTTACACAGCAGTGGTCCCCAAACCTTTTTCTGCACCACGGACTAGTTTTACAGCAGACGATATTTCCTGCTTTTAGACCTTGTTTAGACCTGGTTTAGATCTGGTTTAGTCCTGGTTTAGACCTGTTTTAAACTTGATTTAGTCCTGGTTTAGTCCTGGTTTTGTTTTGGTTTTAGTTCAGGTTTAGACCTGGTTTGGACTTGATTTACTCCTGGTTTAGGCCTGTTTTAGACCTGATTTAGTCCTGGTTCAGTCCTGGTGTAGTCCTGGTTTAGACCTGGTTTAGTCCTGGTTTCATCATGGTTTTGTTTTGGTTTTAGTTCTGATTTAGACCTGGTTTAGACCTGTTTTAGACCTGGTTTAGACCTGGTTTAGTCCTAGTTTAGTCCTGGTTTAGTCCTGGTTTAGTTCTATTTTAGTCCTGGTTTAGTCCTAGTTTAGTCCTGGTTTAGTCCTGGTTTAGTCCCGGTTTAGTCCTGGTTTAGACTTGGTTTTGTCTTGGTTTAGACCTGATTTATTCCTGGTTTAGTCCTAGTTTGGTCCTGGTTTAGTCCTGGTTTAGACTTGGTTTTGTCTTGGTTTAGACCTGGTTCAGTCCTGGTTTAGTCCCAGTTTAGTCCTGGTTTAGTCCCGGTTTAGTCCCGGTTTAGTCCCGGTTTAGTCCTGGTTTAGTCCTGGTTTAGACCTGGTTTAGACCTGGTTTAGACCTGGTTTAGACCTGGTTCAGTCCTGGTTCAGTCCTGGTTTAGTCCTGGTTTAGACCTGGTTTAGACCTGGTTCAGTCCCGGTGTTTGGGGACATTAAACATTTCTACTTTATATTTATTCAAATACGTTTCATTTTAAAGCTTTAAAATACATTGAAAAACAAACATTCTGACTGTCAGTGGGGTCGCCTCTCCACAGATCTGACCTGTAACTTGGTCTGGTTTGATCTCCATGAAGATAGAAAGGTTTAATACCACACTGACACCTTTAAATAGAGTTCACGAAGAAAGTTTCATAAGGTTTATTTTTATTTCTGGTAAAATCCTGTATCGCTGTAATTACAAAACACTTGAAATATCACACTCAGATCAGGCAGCCTCGACGTTTCTCCGCGCTCGTCTCTTTGCTCGAGTTTTTTAGCTGTTAAATTTGGTGTTAACATGATTTACTCCTGGTTTAGGCCTGTTTTAGACCTGATTTAGTCCTAGTTCAGTCCTGGTTTAGACCTGGTTTAGTCCTGGTTTTATCATGGTTTTGTTTTGGTTTTAGTTCTGATTTAGACCTGGTTTAGTCCTGGTTTAGTCCTGGTTTTGTTTTGGTTTTAGTTCTGATTTAGACCTGGTTTAGTCCTGGTTTAGTCCTGTTTTGGTCCTGGTTTAGACCTGTTTAGACCTTTTTAGACTGGTTTAGTTTTCCTGGTTTAGTCCTGTTAGTTGTTTTGGTCCTGGTTTGGTCCTGGTTTAGACCTGGTTTAGACCTGGTTTAGTCCTGGTTTTATCATGGTTTTGTTTTGGTTTTAGTTCTGGTTTAGTCCTGGATTGGTCCTGGTTTTGTCTTGGTTTAAACCTGGTTTAGACCTGTTTTAGACCTGATTTAGTCCTGGTTTAGTCCTTGTTTGGTCCTGGTTTAGTCCTGGTTCAGTCCTGGTTTAGACCTGGTTTAGACCTGGTTTAGTCCTGGTTTTATCATGGTTTTGTTTTGGTTTTAGTTCTGGTTTAGTTCTGGTTCGGTCCTGGTTCAGTCCTGGTTTAGTCCTGGTTTAGACTTGGTTTTGTCTTGGTTTAGACCTGATTTATTCCTGGTTTAGTCCTTGTTTGGTCCTGGTTTAGTCCTGGTTTAGTCCTGGTTTAGACTTGGTTTTGTCTTGGTTTAGTCCTGGTTCAGTCCTGGTTTAGTCCTGGTTTAGTCCAGTCCTGGTTTAGTCCTGGTTTAGTCCTGGTTTAGACCTGGTTTAGTCCTGGTTTAGACCTGGTTTAGTCCTGGTTTAGACCTGGTTCAGTCCTGGTTTAGTCCTGGTTTAGGCCCGGGGGTTGGGGACATTAAACATTTCTACTTTATATTTATTCAAATACGTTTTATTTTAAAGCTTTAAAATACCTTGAAAAACAAACATTCTGACTGTGAGCGGGGTCGCCTCTCCACAGATCTGACCTGTAACTTGGTCTGGTTTGGTCTCCATGAAGATAGAAAGGTTTAATACCACACTGACCCGAAAAGTTACACAATGCACCTTTAACACCTTTAAATAGAGTTCACGAAGAAAGTTTCAGAAGGTTTATTTTTATTTCTGGTAAAATCCTGTATCGCTGTAATTACAAAACACTTGAAATATCACACTCAGATCAGGCAGCCTCGGCGTTTCTCCGCGCTCGTCTCTTTGCTCGAGTTTTTTAGCTGTTAAATTTGGTGTTAACACGAACTCTGGGCTCAGATTTAACGGAAATTAAACATATTTAATTAAAGATATAATAAAAACAGGCATTATCATTATCAAGTATTTTTAACAGAAAAACAACCGGTCGTCTAGATCAGTGGTGCTCAATACATCGATCTCAATCTACCAGTCGATCGCCAAGGTCGTGTGAGTAGATCGCCGTGTCTCGTCTCGGACTCGCGTTTGGACTCGGTCTTGTCTCTCACTCGAGGTCTGACACTCAACAAGTGTGATCATGTTTCATTCCGGCCGCTGCTGTTGGTAATAAACTTGTAGCGGGTGCAGGAGCGTGTGGGGCGTCTCAGTGCAGCCTGTGCGCTCATTTGAAACCCGCGGAGACTCTACGGCGCATCACAAACACACACGCTCCCTACGCACGGCTCGTCTGCGACAGCGTGTGCCCTCGTGTACCAGCGTGCATCACAGGGCAGGTTCAACTTCCTAAACATCCTACCTGTCCATCTGCCTCACGTCAGCACGCCGCCCCTCGCCTTTTCACGCTCTCGCTCCTTCCTGCGTACAGCCAACACAAGCCCCTCCCACAGTGCGGCTGATTAGAAGAGCAAGACCAAACGTGAAGCAAAAACCAGTCGAAATTTGTGTTCCAGTGTTGGCACAAAGCAGGTCTGGTCTACAGCATAGAGCGGATCTACAGAACAGACCTACTGCCACATTTGGCTGAAGTTTGTCTAACAAAAGTGACAAATGCATCTGTGTTTGTCACGATGTGCGTTTGGTTTGGTAAAACGTGCAGAGGCTGGTAAATATCAAGACTGCAAAACCAGAAAAGAATGAAACTCCAGTTTGGAACTTTAAAAAAAACAGGTTTAAAAAATCTTCCTTCACTTTTTTCACAGTTTTGTGTAAAGTGCCAGAGGAAGAGGTTCTCAAACTGTGGGGGAGGGTCCAAAAAAGGGGCACAGAGTGTTTCAGTGCAGTTTGTTTGACTTTGTATTAGGTCGATCATTTCGACTTGGTCATTTTGTAAGTAGCTCACATGTTGAAAAAGTGTGAACACCCCTGGTCGAGACTTTAATCATTTTAATTGTAACAGGATGTTTATTTTATATTTTACAATGAACTGACATGTGACAAATGATTCTACTGAAGATGTATGGAGTTCAAAAACACAGTGGAGCAGAGTGTTTTCAGTTTGACAGAAGAACTGCAGGATTTGTGTGTTAAATGTGTGAATGAAACAAAACACAACTCCAGGTCTGTTTGTGATGACGAAACTACATCCTGAAATAGATCAGTAAACAGTGAAATACTAGAATTCACCTTTAACCCCCTGATGTTTTGTTGTTGTTGTTGTTGTTTTTCAGGACGGAGGAGGGAAGTACAAAGGGAGACACCAGGTCCTGTCGTCCAGCGCCACGGTCACAGTCAATCTGCAGGACTCCCAGGACACGCCCCCTGTGTTTGTGGGCACGCCTTATTTTGGATACGTGTACGAAGTCTCTGTCCCGGTGAGACTTTGCACACTAATGCTTCATATGTGTAAATAATATGTGTATTTCCTGTAGTACTTTGTAGGGCTGCACAATATACTGAAGAAATACTGATGTGTGATACAATAATATAAAGGTTTTTTTAAATTCAGTGGTGGAAGAAGTGCTCGGTTTTGTTACTTAAAGGTTGTATAGAGGATTTTCCAAGGAACGAGAAATCCAGCGACTGTTTGTCCTTTTTCAAATGTTGCGCATGTGTGAAACCACCCCCCTCCCCTACAGCTCCTACGTAGAAACACCTCTCCTCCTCTCCTCCTTACGGAGGCTGTAAACAAACCTGTTTTGTGGAAACAGGTTTGTTTACAGCCGGTGCGCTGCACATGACTTGTAAACAACTAACTACAGTGTTGGTTAGGCAAGACGGAGAAAAGTGAGGAGCGGGGGGAGGGTGTGTGCGGAGATTCCGTGCGCGGAGAAGAAGTGAGGAGCAGCTGGAAGAGCGGGCAGCGGGGACAGGAGCAGGAAAGGGGTGCAGAGAAGGTTGCGCGGAGATTCAGTGCGAATGAACTAGCTACAACACGCAGCAGCAAGCGGACTCTTTCTTTGCCTTGAAAATTACGTTTTCAGACATAGGATATCGCACATTCGTGTCCTTGAAAAACGTTTGTGTAGCTCTTGGAAATAAAGTACGTTTTCATAATAAGCAGAAGTTTCCTGTCCAGGAGTAATTTGTGGACCAGTGCGTTCAGTCTTTAGACCCTTCGTCTGCTTCAGTCGCGCCATCGCTGGAATGAATCTACAAGAATCACCTTAGTTTGGCTTCGCTGCTTTTCCCCTTGTCTTCTTCTTTCAGCGACCTCAAAAACGGACTTTCTTTTGCGGCGAACTGCTCCTGGATTCTTGTCGCCATCGCAACAAACTTTGTGCGAACTGTGAGGAAGATATAGGTCAAAAAAAGCCGCTAAGAACTGTTGCGTTGGTGGAGTAAACAGCGTCTGTGCGTCTTGCGTCTGTGGACTGTGTGACAGTCGTACGTAAACCACGTACCGGCGGCGCAGGCAAGTCAGTTACACTAGAAACGTAGGGAGTTTGATTGACAGCCTGTCAGCTCACAGATAACGAGGCAGTGTCGTTATCTATTGGCAAATGTTTAGCCCCACCACGTCCAGAGTTGATGAATTTTTTTCTTTTTTTTGGTCATCATAATTACAAGGCTACTGCATCCTTTATAATCTATCATTGACAATTTGAAACAAAAAAAAATCCTCCATACAACCTTTAAGTGAAAGTACATACACCACAGCAAAAAAAAGTACTCAAGTAAAATTAAAAGTATGACATGAAATATCTACTTAAGTAAAAGTATTAAAGTACATGTTTAAAACTGAAGGGTAAAAAAGTAAAAAGATTCCACGCAGGTTTTTGGATCTAATAAAGCTTCAAATGTAGATATGTGCTAAAGAGAAAAAAATGAATTCATATTTCTTTTTTTCCTTGCAGTTTTAATTTGTCATTTGTGCTCGTTCAAACTACAAAGCTGTGTTAAAAACAAGAGATAGAAGTACTTTTTACTTTTCACTCCTGATCAAAAATGTAGTGGAGTAGAAAGTACAAATACCTGCTGAAGTAAAAGTTAAAAGTATCCAAGTATTCCATGTTTTAATATACAATGTGAAACAGGAAACTTTTTTGTCATATTTAGCCCCGTTTAAATAGCAGACAAAAGCAATAATATTAGGAGTGTGCAAAAATATTGAAATATCGATATATCGTACTGTTTAATGTGATGATACAGTATCGATATCATGGGCTGCTGTAGCGATATATCACCAAGAGTATTTTTTGGTTTATTTTACTAAATTATTTTCTTACAGCTATAGTTTTGTTGTTTGTTTAGATCCAGGAGGTGTCAAACTCATTTTCTGGTCCGGGGGTCGTGTCCAATCCGACTTTGATCCCAAAGAGGCCGGATCAGAAAAACTCATGGAATATAAACCTCAAAAATAACAATAAGTTCAAATATTTGTGCAGAGAAACACAAATCTATTACAGAAATCTTTTTAAACTTGATGAACTCTTTCTTTTACAAAAATATGATATTATTATGAAGAACCTGAAACTTTAAGAAAAATGTAATTTCAACACAATATTTTAACATGAACTTGTATGTAAACAGGAATAAGTCAATTTTTCTTGTAAAATTCTGCACTCGGCTCCACTTTTCTCATGTTGGACATTTTTCTGATGAGGGTGTCACGGTCAACAGTCAAAACGATCGTCCTTTAAGAGCGTTTGGAAAGAGACAAGTCTTCATTTGTGCTGCTCTGGTGGGAGGGGCCACGTACAGAGACGCTGGAGACCAATGTTTTAATTAAAATATTTAAGTTGAAAATCAACCAAGGGCCAGATTAAAAGGTCTTGCAGGGCCGGATCTGGTCCCCGGGCCTTATGTTTGACACCTGTGGTTTAGAGGAAGGAAACTCGTTGATGTGACACATTTGACATTTTCACTGTTTGAACTTTGCACAAGAAGTGATTTAACAAAGAATTTTATGGCCTGTTTACACGAGAAGACTTGCGGGTAAAAACAACAAAATATTTTATCAGAAGTGCCTTTCGTTTAGTCGGTGACGCCGTTTTTGGGGCTTAAAAACACAAAAATCTGAAACCTCCCTCCAGAGTGGAAAAGTTGAACTCGCTCCGCTGTAGTGTTTCTGTTTACACGGCCCAAGACGCAAAACTCTGGTCAGATCTGCTCACATCACATAATCATTTACATCACATACATACAGAACACAGAAATTTGGCATGTATAACCAATCGAATTCCACACACTTTTGCGTCACCGTTTCCTCCCGAAAACGCTTGTCTAAATGCGGAATGAAAAGTGAAGACGCCACTTTTGCGTCTTTTGTTCAGGCCGTCGTCATGTAAACGTAGCCTTTGTGTCACAGCCAGGATTTAGCCTTTATTTTTTATTGAACCGTATCGAATCGCCAGCTCATTGTATCGAGGTATGAATCGTATCAGCAACATCTGTATGATACCCAGCCCTAAACAATATATTTGAACTTCTTTATAATATATTATTTATAGCTCCTGTAACTTATGTATTAATCAATTAACAGATTTTGTCAATTAAACCTTTTGTTTTTCTTTCAGGGCTCAGAAGTGTTCACAGTCTCTGCCAGAGACGGAGACCAGGGCAACCCCAACCCAATGCACTACCAGATCCTCAACGGTGAGAAGCTCGTTTGAAACAGTCCAAATATTAGTCCAAATATTTCTGTGGTAAAGCTGCACTGTGTAACTTTTCAGATACACAGACAGACAGATTCCACCTGTAAATAAAAAAAAAAAAAAAAAACTAAACGGTGGCATCTCCTGCTTGCCTCTTTGGAGATCGATGGAGTTTAATGCCATACTTTGGAACACTGCTGCAAAGTAATAACATCTCCATGGAGACAAGTAACTGGCTTGAAAGAAAAGTTACACAGTGCACCTTTAAAGTCTGGCATCTTTAAAAAACCTTTAAAGTATGTACAGTTTTACCAGAGTAAGTCTTGTTGTTTGGTTTCAGGCAGTGACGGTGTTTTCGACATAAACAGCACGAGCGGGTGCATCACTCTGAACACTTTCCCCACCGCGCTGAAGAACGAGCTCTACGAGATCATCGTCAAGGTGAAAGAGACACTTTTTCACTTGTATTATTTTGAAAAACAAACCTTAAAAAATGTTAAACGTAGCCAAAAAAAAGTGATACTGATATAGGTTGTGAGTATTTCAGGAAGTCATCATTTCAGGTGGAGATTCACTATTTTTGAAAGAAATCTACAAACGTCTGACCCACCAATGTTCAACTTTAACCTTAAATATTTGTTTGGGATCAGCTTCACAAACTCTTCATATTAATCTGATCGTTTAAAGTCCATTTCACAACGCTCAAGTCTTTTGGGTTGAATAATGGGACCACTTTCTGAAGCAAAATAATATAAAATAAATCTCACTTTTATTCATTTACACTGGCAGAGAAGACTGTTAAAGAATCACTGGTCGGACCCAAATATGCAGTAACAAAAGTATTTATTAATGAAAAAAGTCATGGACGGGGGGGAATAGATTCCAGGGGAGGTAGGGTCCAGGTTGGCTGAAGTGCAACGGTGAAGAGGCTGACCAGAGGCTCGCGAAACAGGTGGTAACGGGATGAGGCTGGCTCCAAAACGGTTGAACTGGGGAACGGACAAAAGTAAACAGATAAGAGTCAAAAACACAAAAAGCCTGAGTAGTTCACCACTTGGTTGACGGAACGATCCGGCACTGGAGAGCAGGTCAGCAGGTCTTTTATTGCCGGAGATGATTACTGACGAGGATCAGGAGGTGAGATGATTTGGGGACCCGCCCAGGAAAAACCAAATAAGGTGAGAGAAGCGAAGAGGGAGCAGGGAAAGAACAGGGAAGGGAGGGGTAGGAGGGGCAGGATGAAACCCTCACAAAGACGCTGAACATTGAACCAGTACCTGGGGGCAGTGTTGGGAAGGTGACTTTTAAAATGTAATCCCCTACAGATTACAGATTACACACCCCAAAATGTAGTTTGTAACGTAATCCATTAAATTACTTAAAGTGAGTAACGTAATCTGAATACTTTGGATTACTTGATATTGTCATGTTTTTTTAAACGTAGCAACCACATCCTGAAAATTCTTGTTTGTTGTCTTCAAATTGTCTGAGCCCAAGTCTCCATGAATAAACAACTGTTTACTGTAGAGAAACAAAGACCACGAGATCTTAATATAAGAGGTTTTGTCTGTTAAAAGACAATAACAAGATCAGCCTTTCCTTAATATTAAAAAATATTATTGATAGAGAAATTATATGAGATCACCTTAAATTATGTCAACCTACTGTTAGGTGTCGTGTTGTTTAGTCCTGGTTTAGTCCTGGTTTAGTCCTGGTTTAGTCCTGATTTTTAGACCTGGTTTACTCTTGATTTTAGACCTGGTTTAGACCAGGTCTAGACCAGGTCTTTAGTTCTGGTTTAATCGTGGTTTAGTCCTAGTTTAAACCTGGTTCAGTCCTGCTTTAGTCCTGGTTTAGTCCTGGTTTAGTCCTGGATTAGTCCTGGTTTAGTCCTGGTTTAGTCCTGGATTAGTCCTGGTTTAGTCCTGGTTTAGTCCTGGATTAGTCCTGGTTTAGTCCTGGTTTAGTCCTGGTTTAGTCCTGGATTAGTCCTGGTTTAGTCCTGGTGTTAGTTCTGGTTTAGAGGTGCACAGGAGGAAGCTCAGTTTACGCGAGAAAACACAGTCCACTCGCGGCGCACGAGACGTCGGTGTCCACGCAGTAACTACGGAAGGAGACGTGGTCCGCGGGTTCTCAGGTTGATGACGATGATGAAGGTGTTTGTGTGTGTTTGTGTGTGTGTTGTGTGTGTGTTGTGTGTTGTGTGTGTGTGTGTTTGTGTGTTGTGTGTGTGTTGTGTTGTGTGTGTGTGTGTGTTTGTGTATATGACAGTAGTGCAGGTTGTTTTTCACCGGTGCCAGTAGCTCCTGTTTCACATTTAAGTTGTAGGTGATTTTATATTTGTTTATATATATATATATTTATCTCACATCGGGAGAAGAATTTCCAAGACACAAATGCGTTTTTACCAATGCACTGCTGCTTCCACTGTGTGACTGACACCGCCAACTTTAACATGACGTTTACATCGCTCTTATTGTCGCGTTCTGTTTGGGCTTCAGGCAATGAGTGGAATTACCGAAATAAAAAAATAAATAAATGGGATGTAGCACAAAATGTGAAAACAGGAAAATACCGCCTTGTAATCCACTTATTTCAGCAAAGTAACTGTAATCCAATTACCACTCATTGAAACAGTAACTGTAACGGAATACAGTTACTCATAATTTTGTACTCTGATTACGTAACGGCGGTACATGTAATCTGTTACTCCCCAACACTGCCCGGGGGGTATTGGAGGGTGGGGCAGAGAGGCGAGTTGAGGACCGCCGCGCGACGACCGTCATTTTGTGAGGATTCATGTGGTTCGGGGGGACATAGTCAAATCGGGGGTAAATTGTTGTGGAGGCGGCCTTCCTAACTATAAATCGCTGCGGGAAACACTGCCCCAGTCACGGACGAGTTCCCTCATGAATATTAAAGAGCCGAGTCTCCGTGTAGCTGCACATGTACTGGAATATAAACACACTTAAATTGCGTGAACTCACTCGTGCACAGCCCTGCACCGAACCGAACGTCCCGGACTGAAACAGTTCTGCACGAGTACATGTACCGTTACACTCCAAGTATCCGCCCTCATAACGTCCCCTGTCCCTCGTCTCTTAGGCCTCGGAGTTGGGCGCGGGGGGTCAGCTCCTGGAGTCTGACCTCACCGTCGTCACCGTGCGGGTGGTGGATCTGAACAACCATCCTCCCACCTTCTACGGCGAGAACGGACCTCAGAGCAGGTTTGAACTGACCATGACGGAGCACCCGCCTGCAGGAGAGATACTCAGAGGCTTCAAGATCACGGTCAACGACTCCGACCAGGTGAGGAGGCGTCTGGTACAAGTGTCTGGTGTCTCTGATTTGCTACAAACCCAAATACAAAGCAGAGGATGAAGAGAAGAGGGTCAGAGAAGCTGGATCACTAAGACTAACCAGACCTGGTCCTGTTTCTTCTGAGCTCAGACAGTAAATCCATATACATGCAGATATGAGGATGTTTTATTCTTCTGTCTTGTCTCCTCGTGTTTTCTGCAGGGAGCCAACGCAAAGTTCAAGCTGCGTCTGGTGGGGCCCAGTCACATCCTGAGGGTGGTTCCTCAGACGGTTCTGAACGAGGCTCAGGTCACCATCATCGTGGAGGACACCACCGGGATCGACTACGAGAAAGGACCCACGCTCTCCTTTAAGGTCAGGAAACTTTTACTCTACTGAAGTGAAGAGGAGAGAAAAGGAGAGGGTCAGAGGATGTGTTTATCATTCGATTTTCAAGATAAAACCAAAACACTTTTCTTCATTATTTGTCTCTAAAACCAAAATGAAAAAAACATTTTGTGTTTAAATGAATAATGGAAAAAAATGGATAACGACTGTTTCCCGTTTACTGACTTGACTTGTGACTTAAACTGAATCAGGACTAAACCAGGACTAAACTGGTCTCAGTCCTGGTCTGGTCCTGGTCTCAGTCCCCGTCTCAGTCTGGTCCTGTTATCGGTCTCAGTCCTGGTCTTAGTCCTGGTCTCAGTCCCAGTCTCGGTCTCGGTCGCGGTCCCGGTCTCAGTCCCGGTCCTGTTACTGGTCTCAGTCCTGGTCTCAGTCCCAGTCTAGTCTTACTCTCAATGCCGATCTAGTCCCGGTCTCAGTCTCGATCTAGTCCCAGTCTCAGTCCGATCTAGTCCCAGTCTCAGTCCCGATCTAGTCCCAGTCTCAGTCCCGATCTAGTCCCAGTCTCAGTCCCAATCTAGTCACGGTCTCAGTCCCGATCTAGTCCCGGTCTCAGTCTTGAGCTAGTCCCGGTCTCAGTCCCAATCTAGTCCCGGTCTCAGTCCTGATCTAGTCCAAGTCTCAGTCCCGATCTAGTTCTGGTCTCAGTCCCCGTCTCAGTCTGGTCCTGTCACCTGTCTCAGTCCTGGTCTCAGTTCAGTTCTAGTCTCGCTCTCTGTCGCAGTCTCAGTTCCCGTCCCAGTCCTGGTCCTGTTACTGGTCTCAGTCCTGGTCTGGTCCCAGTCTCAGTCTGGTCCTGTTACTGGTCTCAGTCCTGGTCTTAGTTCTGGTCTGGTCCCATTCTTAGTCCCGGACTGGTCTGGTCTTGGTCTCAGTCCTGGATTAGTCCTGGATTAGTCCTGGTTCAGTCCTGGTTCAGTCCGGCATCGCAGTTTAAGTCACGGAAACAGGAAACGGCCGTTATCCTTTTTTTCATTTTGGTTTTGGAGACAAATAATGAAAAAATGGGCTGTTTTTTTCATTTTCTTATTTTTGTTTTTTTCTTGAAAAACGAATGAACGAATGACACACAGATTTCAGAGCAGCAGAGGATGAAGAGGAGAGGAGCAGATACAGCAGAGGAAGCAGGAGATATATTTGAACACATATTTTCCTTTCCAGCTCTTGGCGGTGGAGATTGACACTCCGGAGAGGTTCAGTTCGACGGCGGACATCCTGATAAACCTTCTGGACACAAACGATAACACTCCAAAGTTCACCTCGGAGTATTACATCGCCCGAGTCCCGGAGAACTCTCCAGGAGGCTCCAGCGTGGTGTCTGTCAAGGTGAGAAGAACGAAATATTTACAAATCATGTTTATTTTAAAATCTTTATTTTGAATCAGAATCTTTATTAATGGGCACACAGACACTTTGGTTGTGTTTGGTTTTTGTACATTTGAAAAAGAAGCTCAAATCAACTGTGCATCACAAACAGGAAAAGCACAGTAGTGATGATGATGATGATGCTCATTATTATTATTATTACGTTATATTATTATTAGTGCTGTCATGCGATTAAATTAATTATGATCTGTAATTAATTAATCTAATTAATCTCATTTTAATCTCACCTAAAAATTGCTGAGAAAAGCTTCAATTTGAGGTATTTTCATTTAAATTCATTATTACATTATTGTGGCAGATCAAAAGACTGATATAGAACAAAAAAAGTGACTTTATAAAGTCATTTATTGTTTAACAAATCTCTCCAAATTGTCTGTTGAGCCCAAGTCTCCATGAATAAGAAACTGTTTGTTGTAAAGTAGCAAAGACGAGGAAATCTGAACATAATAACTTTTGTCGACTTAAAGACAATAAAAAGTCCAGTCTTTCCTTAACCATATTAAAAATATTATTGATAGAGAAATGCTTTATATATGAGATCACTGGTTTTAGTCCTGGTTTTAGTCCTGGTTTAGACCTGCTTTTTAGTCCTAGTTTAGTCCTGGAATGGATTAGTCCTGGTTATAGTCCTGGTGTTAGTTCTGGTTTAGTCCTGGTTTAGTCCTGGTTTAGACCTGGTTTTAGTTTTAGTTCCTGGTTTTTAGTTCTGGTTTTAGTTCTGGTTTTTTAGTTCTGGTTTTAGTTCTGGTTTAGTTCTGGTTTAGTTCTGGTTTAGTTCTGGTTTTAGTTCTGGTTTTAGTTCTGGTTTAGTCCTGGTTTTAGTTCTGGTTTTAGTTCTGGTTTTAGTGGTTTTAGTTCTGGTTTTAGGTTCTGGTTTTAGTTCCTGGTTTTAGTTCTGGTTTAGTTCTGGTTTAGTCTGGTTTTAGTTAGTCCTGGTTTTAGTTCTGGTTTAGTTCTGGTTTAGGGTTTTAGTTAGTTCTGGTTTAGTTTAGAGGTTCAGTCTGGTTTAGGAGTTCTGGTTTTAGTCAGTAGCTGGTTTTAGTTCTGGTTTTAGTCGCCAGCGGTAGCGAGAAAACACGGTTTATCCACACGCGGCTCACAGGGAGCACGTCGGTGTCCACGCAGTAACTACGGAAAGGAAACGTGGTCCACGCGTTCTCAGGTTAATGACGATGATGAAGGTGTTTGTTTGTGTGTGTGTGTGTGTTGTGTGTGTTTGTGTGTGTGTGTGTGTGTGTGTGTGTGTGTGTGTGTGTGTGTTGTGTGTGTTTGTGTGTGTGTGTGTGTTGTGTGTGTGTGTGTGTGTGTGTGTGTGTGTGTGTGTGTGTGTTGTGTGTGTGTGTGTGTGTTTGTGTGTGTGTGTGTGTGTGTGTTGTGTGTGTGTGTGTGTTTGTGTGTTGTGTGTGTGTGTGTGTGTGTGTGTGTGTGTTGTGTGTGTGTGTGTGTGTGTGTGTGTGTTTGTGTGTATAGGACAGTAGTGCAGACATCATGAGTCTATGCAGGTTGTTTTCAGGTGATATTATATTTGTTATTTTCTTTTATATTTCACGTCGGGAGAATAATTTCCAAGACACAAATGTGTTTTTACCTGTGCACTGCTGCTCTGTTACGTCGCTCTTACTGTGCGCGTTTTGTGTGGGTTTCCGGCAATGAGTGGAATTACCGAAATATAATGTATAAATGTGTTTTTTGTGTGTGTGTTGTTGTCCCAACAACACATAAAAACAGGTTTTATAATAAAGCAACTCGCATACAAAAACACTAAAGTTAGAGATTAAAAATGAGATTAACGCGATTAAAAAACATAACGCACTAAATATGACTGTAATTAATTAATCGCAATTAACGTGATAATTTGACACCCCTAATTATTATATATTTATTGTAATCATACAGGATATATTATTTGTTGTCTCCTGTCCCAGACTCTCCATTATAAATATTAAGACAACTCATCATTTTATAATCCGGCAACCAAAATTCTAGCCTGATTCATCAGCCGGTTTCACTTTGTAGAAACCGTCTGACCTCGCAGTGTTAGGATTCGTTTGTTCCACAGTAGGCGGGTACTTTTTTTATTTAATCAATCGCTGCTATTTGGTCGTGATGTTTGTAATGCGCCGCTAACGGGGCTAACTAGTATATTAAGCTTTTCCCAAATCCCGTACGTAGAAGGACACTAACGTCTTGATAAAATTCAGCAAACATTCTCTTTGTTCCGGTTTTAAATCCTCGATCTTGGGAATCGTTGCCAACACAGAATGTCTGACTCTTCTCCTACTCCTAGACCTTTGAACCAACTCACCTCCACTGCCAGGGCCAAAGTGTCAGACCTCAGCTAAACACAGAGCAACTGCTGTTTTCTGGTCATATTTAGATTTGTTTACAGCTCAGTTTGACACTTTGCAGGCAGGAGAGGGATAAAATATCACAGATGCACACGTGAGCGGGACTGAAGAACTGTTTTCATTGCGTCCAAACACAATGAAAACAGTTCATACTACCGTCATTTTCAGACTATAAGCTGCTCCAGCCAAAAAATGCACAATGAAGAAGAAAAAACATATATAAGTCACACTGGACTATAAGTATAAGGGTCCGGTCAAGTGGTAACGGAGGGAAACAGGCAGATTTTTTACATTCAAATGTCTCTTATTCAGAAACTAGAGGAACTATTGAAATAAGTAAAGTATCAGAATGTAGGAAAGAGTTACACTCCAACAGGGTCAAGTTAAACCTGTGAGATTCTTTCAAGTTGTTGACAAAAAATGAAAAAACTCATGTCGGTAACGGAGGGAATGAAATATGCAGCACTTTTTGGGCAATAAATCCAAACAGTGATAACTCTTGGTTCTCACTTACATATCCTTAACAAACTGGTTTGAATATTTGCTTCATATAGTTTTCTACCATATGGTACAAGATTAGGTTGAAAAACCTCTTACTTTTTGAGTCATGAGATTTTTTATTAAGAAAGTTCATGGTAACGGAGGGAAAAGTAACGGAGAGAAAATTGTGCAAACAAGTAGAAGGTGCAGGATTTTACATCATTTGTGACTTTTTTCTTCCGAATACTTTAATATTACTTCAAAATGAAAAGAAACTGTTTCTATAAAATATGTCAGTCCTTCCAAGCAAATTTTTATCTTTTTTTTTTTTTGAAAAATCATGTACCTTCATCAACAGTTCAAAGATGGAATAACACAAGATATGATGAAATACATCCATTTATTTACATGATTTTTGGGTCTTTGAAATTTGGGAAATAATTTTTGTTCCATGTTTCATACATACATAGAACCAAAAATGGTCCAGAAAAAAGGTCAACAGTTTCATAAACTAGAGTACATATGTATCTGTTCAATACATTTTTATATCAGATGAATTAACTTGAATTTTTGGTCTTGTTGTTTACTTCTGCTTGACCAGGCCATAAGTATATAGACTATACACTTTCTGGGGGAAAATGTATTGTATAAAATCAGGGACCAGGAACCGACATTTTATCTTGAAAGGCAAGTTCTCGTAATAACAATAGAATAAAGAACAACAGGCTGAATAGGTGTTAATTTGAACGTAACATATTAACAGTTATTGAGATAAATATAGAAGAAAATAGTTGTTTTTTTCATTTTCTTATTTTGGGTTTTATTTTGAAAAACGAAAGAACGAATGACACACGGATTGAACTCGACTGTTTTTGCATTTCTTTATGTGTACGTTTTACTTTCAGGAGATGCAGCGTCTCGGCTTTGCTCCGTTGTGTTTAAGTTTAATCTGCAAATCTCCTGTCACCTCACAGTATGGACCCCCCCCACCCATCTGTGTCTCTGTGTCTCTGTCCAATAAAAGGCTTTGTTTGGTCCAAGGATAATCCCGCTGACCTCTGTGTTGTCTTTATAATCCAATCCCACCCTCCTGTTTAAAGTAATGAGTGAATGGACATCACTGCTATAGACTCATGCTACAGAAGAGACGCACAAACAACAAACAAATCACTCACACACTGCACATTTCTCTGGTCTGGTCATGATTTTCAAACTTATATCAGGTTATTCATCTTGTTTTCAGATTTATTACTAGTTCTGAGATGATTAATTCTCGTCTAGAGGTTGTTTATTTTAAGATTACTCAAGTAAAATTATTTTGCTGCATGGACAGATCATTTCTAGTCAGTCTGGCGCCACCTAGTGCCTCCGCTCAATTTAATTTCTCTCCAGGAATCAGATACACTAGACCAGGGGTGTCAAACATACGGCCCGGGGGCCAGATCCGGCCCTCCAAGACCTTTAATCTGGCCCTCAACTGATTTTCTACTAAAATATTTTAATTATATTTTCTATTAAAATCTTGTTAATTTTCTGTGGTGTTTATCACAGCAGCGTCTCCAGCGTCTCTGTACGTGGCCCCTCCCACCAGAGCAGCACAAATGAAGACTTGTCTCTTTCCAAACGCTCTTAAAGGACGATCGTTTTGACTGTTGACCGTGACACCCTCATCAGAAAAATGTCCAACATGAGAAAAGTGGAGCCGAGTGCAGGATTTTACAAGAAAAATTGACTTATTCCTGTTTACATACAAGTTCATGTTAAAACTTTGTGTTGAAATTGTCTTTTTGTTAAAGTTTCAGGTTGTTCATAATATTATAATATTTTGTAAAGAAAGAGTTCATCAATTAAAAAAGATTTCTGTAATAGATTTGTGTTTTTCTGCACAAATATTTAAACTTATTGTTATTTTTGGGGTTTATATGACATGAGTTTTCTGATCCGGACACTTTGGGATCAAAGTCGGTTGGATACGACCCCCGGACCAAAATGAGTTTGACACTCCTGGTCTAGACGGTTCACAAAAACCCCAGAAGTGCGAGTTCGGGCACCACCCAATCAGAGAAGAGCCAAACATTTCCCGTTTACGTGACTTAAACTGCGATGTCAGACTGAACCAGGACTGAGCCAGGACTAAAACAGGTCTAAACCAGGTCTCAGTCCTGGTCTGGTCCTGGTCTCAGTTGTAAACTGACAAAATCAGGACTAAACCAGGACTGGTTTGCATAGATGGTCAGGTGATCAGAACAGACCGGGACCATATAAGGACTGAGACCAGGACTGAGGCTCAGACTGAGACTGATTTAGACCTGGTTTAGTCCTGATTTAGACCTGGTTTAGTCCTGGTTCAATGAAACAATGAAACAATGAACTGTTTTCATTGTGTTTGGACACAATGAAAACAGTTCTTCAGTCCCGCTCACGTTCGCATCTGTGATATTTTATCTCGCTCCTGCCTGCAAAGTATCAAACTGAGCTAAAACTTAAACAAATATTTGCAAAGCTGTGTGGATAGGGAAGGCTCGCGGACACAGAAACAACGTGTCTGGACGCAAATTGTTTCCAATACAGTGATTTGTTTCAGTGTAAACGTAACCTTAGATGGTCTGAAAGCTAAAGAACAAATACAAAATAGATGTGAAATTGAACAGAATGGTCGTGTTGTTGCCTGAAAAAATGAGCTGTTGTGTTTTTCAGGCTGAGGATCCAGACTCGGGGCCGTGGGGGGACGTCTCCTACACCATCTATGGATCAGGAGCAGATCTGTGAGTCAAACTACACTCTGAACTTTTGCTGCTGCTGTTGTTGACGTAACGCACTGAGTCTTGAAGGTGGAAATGCGTTGTACAAAAATGTGCGGCCGTTGTTGTCTCGCTCATTCCAAACTTTCTTTCTGCTGCTCGATTACCGTTTTTGGTTGAGTATTTCACGACTTGCAGCAAGACAGAGGCTCTTTCTGCAGGAGACATGCGCAGTAGAGCCAAGTGACAGTGGTACAGGAGGAACAGGAGCAGCAGATACTCACACACAAGACTAGAGCGCCCCCTCATGGTTGTGAGTGTGAAAATAAGTCCCACAGTATAGTTAGTTAATTAGTTATTTTATTTCAAACCTGCACATGGGTTCGGTCAAGTGGTAACGGAGGGAAACAGGGTCAGATTTTTGACATTCAAATGTCTCTTATTCAGAAACTAGAGGAACTATTGAAATAAGTAAAGTATCAGAATGTAGGAAAGAGTTACACTCCAACAGGGTCAAGTTAAACCTGTGAGATTCTTTCAAGTTGTTGACAAAAAATAAAAAAACTCATGTCGGTAACAGGAGGGAATGAAATATGCAGCACTTTTTGGGCAATAAATCCAAACAGTGAAAACTCTTGGTTCTCACTTACATATCCTTAACAAACTGGTTTGAATATTTGCTTCATATAGTTTTCTACCATATGGTACAAGATTAGGTTGAAAAACCTCTTACTTTTTGACTCATGAGATTTTTTATTAAGAAAGTTCATGGTAACGGAGGGAAAAGTAACGGAGGGAAAATTGTTCAAACAAGTAGAAGGTGCAGGATTTTACATCATTTGTCGCTTTTTTAATCTGAATACTTTAATATTACTTCAAAATGAAAGGAAACTATTTCTATAAAATATGTCAGTCCTTCCAAGCAAATTTTTATCATTTTAAATCCTTTTTTTTTTTTTTTTTTTTAAATCATGTCCCTTCATCAACAGTTCAAAGATGGAATAACACAAGATGAAATACATCCATTTATTTACATGATTTTTGGGTCTTTGAAATTTGGGAAATAATTTTTGTTCCATGTTTCATACATGGTCTGTTTAAAACGTATGGAACTTTAGAACCAAAAATGGTACCAGAAAAAAGGTCAACAGTTTGATAAACTAGAGTACATATGTATCTGTTCAATACATTTTTATATCAGATGAATTAACTTGAAGTTTTTGGTCTTGTTGTTTATTTCTGCTTGACCAGGCTCATATACAATTCATAAGTCGCAGGAAACACCCAAACCATGAAAAAAAGTGCGATTTATAGTCAGAAAAATATGTTAGTTTAATGCCATATTGTGGAATATTACAGGCAAGGCACTAAAATCTCCATGGAGACAAGTAAGCGAGCAGAAAAGTGCATTTAAATGCAATGTCGTCTTTCCATTCGTGCATCTTTTTGCATATCAGTTGTTGCTAGGCAGATTTCACGTCGTCACGCCACTTCACTCCTCCATCTTGTTCTGAGTCATGCTTGTGGGTGTGAACTCCGCGGGACTCAGGTCAGCGCCGCGATTGGACGATCCGCCTCCATAACAACACCTTGGCTCTTTAAAATGGCCGCCGCTGCGAGACCCGGCCGCCTAATCTCCTAATTGGATGAAGCGGGTGTAAAAATAGCCGCGCTGTGACGGAGAGGAGGCCAATTAGCATCTCGGTGACAGGCTACGAACGCAGACGTGCAAATTTGTACCTCAGCAGCCTGGTGCCAAAGTTCTCAGCTGCAAAGTTGTGAATTTTCGCAAATAAGAAGAAGCAGCAGACAGGAGTGTGGAGACACGGAGAGAGAGCAGATGGAAGTATAATTACTAAACTAAATTGTATCTGTGGTGTTTTCCCTCTGATCCGTAGGTTGGTGGTTTGAATCCCACTTTCTACGTAAACATCATCAGGTACAACGGTCAGAAACAGATGAATACTGCCGTTGTTGCGTCTTTGGGCAAGACACTTAATCCAGAGTGGTTCCTTAACGTAAAGCACTTTGAAAATCTTAAACAGGTTTCCCACTGTCATGGAAATCCTGTAAAAAATAATTGTCCAGGCCTGGAAAAGTGATGGAATTTTGTAAAATCAATGAAAGTTTGGAATTTTAGTATTTTAAGTTGATTGATTGATTGATTGATTGATTGATTGCATTTCTATAGCGTCTTTCAAGATCCCCAAAGTGTTTTACAGTTCATTATTCAGTCACTCCACACTCAGTGGTGGTAAGACTGTAGCCACAGCTGCCCTGGGGCAGACTGATGGACGTGAGGCTGCCAATCTGCGCCATCAGTCCCTCCGACCACCACCAACACTCACGCACACTCCACTTTCATACTAGGCAATCTGGGTGAAGTGTCTTGCCTAAGGACACAATAACAGTTATTGCCACTGGCGCCACTGTGGCACCTGGACGACCTGGTGTCTCCTGGTCCTGCCCAGGCTCCGCCTGTTCAGCCTCTGGGATCTGACGGGATCAGGCTTTGACAAGCTGCTATGGCCAGTTGTTGTTTTGCAAGTCTCGAGTCTTTGACCTCAAGTCCAAGTCCCAAGTCAAATACAGACAAGTCCAAGTCGAGTCTCGAGTCACTGGTCCATAAGTCCAAGTCAAGTCCAAGTCGTCTGATTTGAACTTCAAGTCATTTCAAGTCTTTAACCAAAACACCAAATGTGTCTTAGATTTTTGCAGTTTATATGAATTTTAAACTAAATTGTACTTAAAAAGTCACAGTATATTTATATATGAGTATTTATAGAGTTTACAACAGTTGTAGAAATTAATTTAGTTAATTTTTCCTTTTTAAATGTCTTCTAATCTTAGAGTGAATCATGACAGTCAGAATAGAAAGAATTCAGATTTAAAAGAGCTTCTCAAGTCACTGACCTTCAAGTCCAAGTTGAGTCCCAGGTCTTAGTCAGTTTTAAAGTCTCACATCCTAAAAATAGTGACTCAAGTCTGACTTGAGTCCAAGTCATGACTTGCACGTCCCCATCTCTGCTTCAGTGTTCTGTCAAGTTCTCATTAGGTTATTACGATTATTTCCAAACGTCTGAGCCTTTTGTTTAAAAGAGACGACAGTAAATGCACTGACAGGATTTGGAATGTTCAAAAATTCAGTTGTTCAAAAATCTATTCTACACATTTAGGAGCCGTAACGTCATGGAAAATTCACTTTAGGTCATGAAAATTGTGGAAAGGTTTGGAAATTTTGTCAGTGAAAAAGAGTGGGAACCCTATATATAAAAACGTGACCATTTACCATTTTTGGGAACCTCAGTGCAACCTCGGTAAATATGTCGTTGTGTCCTTGGGCAAGACACTTATCCCACCTCGCCCCTCGTGTTTGCGTACGCTGGTGTGTGAATAGGTGAGTGGTTCCTTGTTGTAAAGCGCTTTGAGTGTCTTGAAGGTGGAAAAACGCTGTGTAAAAATGTGCAACTTTTTGTATTTTGTATTTTATTATTACTGGCCTATGCGACTTCCAGTAGTTGGTGACATCACACAGAACTGTCCTGATCACAGCCGGGTGTTTGTGATGTTAAACTAGTCGAAAATGACCAAACAAGTTCCTGGTCAGATCTGTGGAGAGGCTCGCTCACACTGGAACTTTCCACGTTTGTTTTTAGCAACACAACATTTGTAATAACAAGTTGTAAAAGTATAAGTGGACGTCTGAATTTTGTTTCCCGCTTCTCCAAATTTTAGCAATTTACCTTTTTGTTGTCGTCATTTTATGTTTCATGTGCAGCACTTTGGAAATTGCTTTGGGTGTAAAAATGTAGAAAAAAATAAATGCTTTTCCAGACGCTAAAAGTCGTAGTAAAATAGACTTTATTAATCCAAAAGGGAAATTATTTGGACACAGAAGCTCAAACGTCACAATATCATATAATAACAAAAAGTAAATAAAAATATATATAAATGGTAATAATCTGGTAATAGTATTTATCGTAGCCACAGCTGCCCTGGGACAAACTGACAGAAGTGAGGCTTTTAATCAACACTTATTCATCCTCAGTGTTGAGAAGTAATCCCCTACAGATTACAGATTACATGCACCAAAATGTAGTTTGTAACGTAATTCATTAAATTACTTAAAGTGAGTAATGTAATCTGAATACTTTGGATTATTTGATTTGCTGTAGAGAAACAAAGACGTAACATAAGTTTTGTTTGCTTAAAGAAAAAGAAAAGCCCAGATTTTACTGAACCAGATTAAAAATATTAATGATAGAAGAAGAGGAGACACAGTCCACGCTGCAAGGTTTAGTCCTGGGTTAGTCCTGTTAAATCCTGTTTTAGTCCTGGTTTAGTCCTGTTTTAGTCCTGGTATAGACCTGGATTTAGTCCTGGTTTAGAACTGGTTAAGACCTGGTTTAGTCCTGGTTTTAGTTCTGGTTTTAGTCCTGGTTTAGACCTGGTTTTAGTCCTGGTTTAGACCTGGTTTAGACCTGGTTTTAGTCCTGGTTTAGACCTGGTTTTAGTCCTGGTTTAGATCTGGTTTAGACCTGGTTTTAGTTCTGGTTTTAGTCCTGGTTTAGACCTGGTTTAGACCTGGTTTTAGTCCTGGTTTAGACCTGGTGTCCTGGTTTTAGTCCTGGTTTAGACCTGGTTTTAGTCCTGGTTTAGACCTGGTTTTAGTCCTGGTTTAGACCTGGTTTTAGTCCTGGTTTAGACCTGGTTTTAGTTCTGGTTTTAGTCCTGGTTTAGTCCTGGTTTTAGTCCTGGTTTAGACCTGGTTTTAGTCCTGGTTTAGACCTGGTTTTAGTCCTGGTTTAGACCTGGTTTAGTCCTGGTTTTAGTCCTGGTTTAGACCTGGTTTAGACCTGGTTTTAGTTCTGGTTTTAGTCCTGGTTTTAGTCCTGGTTTAGTCCTGGTTTAGACCTGGTTTAGACCTGGTTTAGACCTGGTTTTAGTCCTGGTTTAGACCTGGTTTTAGTCCTGGTTTAGACCTGGTTTTAGTTCTGGTTTTAGTCCTGGTTTAGACCTGGTTTTAGTCCTGGTTTAGACCTGGTTTAGTATCCGGAAATGAGTGGAATTACGAAAAAAAAAAAGAAAAAAAAAAAGGGGGATATAACCCAAAATGTAAAAACAGGACAATCCCTCTGTGTAATCCATTTATTTCAACAAAGTAACTGTAATCCAATGACCACTCACTGAAACAGTAACTGTAACTGAATACAGTTACTCATCATTTGTACTCTGATTACTCTGGTACATGTAATCTGTTACTCCCCGACACTGCTCATACTACATTTATACTTAAGACAAAGTGGGTGAAGTGTCTTGCCCAAGGACACTGTTTAGGCTTCAGGAGATCGGGCGTTGCCGTGGCGCCCGTCCAGTCGAGGTAATGTCACAGTGCGGAACATTCTGCCGGTGTTTTAATCGTCGGGGCCGTGAGTCACTCCGATGTGATCTGCATATTATAAAAAAAAAGAAAAAAAAAAGAGTGAAAGTCGTGAACACGGATCCGTTTTACTGGAGTTCTCAGTTCTGAAGGTGCGACCGTGTTACAGACAGAGAGAAAGAGAGAGAGAGGGAGAGGGGGAGGGAGAGAGAAAGAGAGAGAGAGAGAGAGAAAGAGAGAGAGAGAGAGAGGGAGGGAGGGGAAGAAATGAGGAGACTGGGAGAAAGAGAGAGACAGAAAAGAAGAGAGAAAAGAGACAGAGAGAGAGGGAAGGAGAAAGAAAGCAAGAGGGAGAGAGAGACAGAAACAGAGAGACGGAGAGAGAGAAAGAGAAAAAGAGAGAGACAGAGGAGGTGAGGGGGAGAGATAGAGGGAGGGTGAGAAAAGAGACAGAGAGGGAGGGAGAGAAAAAGAGAGGGAGAGGGAGAGAAAAGAGACAGAAGGTGAGGAAGAAAGACAAAAGGAGAGAGGAGAGAGGGAGGGAGTGGCTGGATGGAGAGAGAAACAGAAAAAGAGAGAGGGATAGAGAGGGAGGAGGGAGAGAGAAAGAAAGCGAGAGGGAGGGGCTGTGTGAAAGAGAAAAAGAGAGGGAGAGAGGGGTGGGTGGGAGAGAAAAGAGACACAGGGAAAGAGAGGGGGAGAGAGAGAAATAAAGAGGGAAAGAAAAAGAGAGCAAGACAGAGAGGGGAGGCAGGGGGAGAGAAAAGAGACAGAGGGAGAGAAAAGAGAAAGACAGAGAGAGAGAAAGACAGAGAGAGAGAGAGAGAAAGACAGAGAGAGAGAGAAAGAGAGAGAAAGACAGAGGGAGAGAGAGAAGAGAGAGAGAGAGAGAGAGAGAGAGAAAGACAGAGAGAGAGAGAAGACAGAGGGAGAGAGAAAGAGAGAGAGAGAAAGAGAGAGAGAGAGAGAGAGAGAGAGAGAAAGAGAGAGAGAAAGACAGAGAGAGAGAGAGAAACAGAGAGCAGGGAGGTGAGGGAGAGAGAGAAAAAACAGGGTGAGGAAGAAAGACAGAGGGAGAGAGAGAAAGAGAGAGAGAGAAAGACAGAGGGAGAGAGAGAAAGACAGAGGGAGAGAGAAAGACAGAGAGAAGGAGGGAGGGACTTGGTGAACAAGAAACAGGAGAGAAAAAGTGACAGAAAAAGAGAGAGAGACAGAGAGAGGGAGAGAGAGGACGGAGAGGGAGAGAGAGGATGGAGGGAGGGAGAGAGAGAGAGGACGGAGAGAGGGAGGGAGAGAGAGAAGGAGGTATATTTGGATCGGCTCGAGGGCTCCAGGTTTAGCACCAGATGGTTTAGAGGAGCTGGAGTTTGTCTGCAGATGAGAAAGAAGAAGAGAGAGAAAAAGAAAGAAAGAGAGGGAGGAGAGAAATGGGGAGAGTGTGGAAAGCGATAGACAGAAGAGGAGAAAGCGAGGGAGTGCAAATAAAAATGAGGGCTGGAGAGGGAGAGAGAAAGAGGGAAGGAAAGAAAAAAGGTATAGACAAGAAGAGAGAGAGCGGGAGAAGTTCAGAACAGAGTGAGAGAGAGAGGGGGACAGGACAGAGAGCGGAAGAGAGAGAGAGAATGAAGAAAAGATTAGATGCATGGAGAGAGAGAAAGAAGAAGAAGAGGAAGAGAAAGAAAGAAAGAGAGGAGGAGGAGAGAGTGAACAACATGCGTCAAACTTCTGTGTCTTTTTTAGTTTTGCTGTTGTCAAGATGGAAAAAAACCAAGAGACTTTTGTGCTGTGAAACAGGGACAGTGATTCAGAACAAGTGAATTATCACATTGTTTGTTGCTATTCGTGTTGTTGTGTCCTTTGGCAAGACACTTCACCCACCTTGCTTGGTTTGGCTGCGGTGTGTGACTGGTGGTGGTCACATGGTGCAGATTGGCAGCCTGGTTTCCATCAGTCTGACCCAGGGCAGCTGTGGAGTAAATAAAACTGGAAAGAAACTTTGCGAGGTCGATTTCATGCCGCTGGTTTGATTATTTGGTTCACACCAGAAAATAAACTAGTTCTTCTGTAGCATCTAAACTCCAGCATGTTCCACTTTCACACTGTTAGACGTGTTCTATCAAAAATGACTAGACTCAATCAATTTAAATTACAAAAATGTTTCCCCTGCAATCCGTGTATCATTCGTTCATTTGTTTTTCAATATAAAACCAAAAATAAGAAAACGAAAAAACAACAGTTTTCTTCGTTATTTGTCTCCAAAACCAAAATGAAAAAAACGGATAATGATTCGTTTTTTCAGTTTGATATGGAGTCAAGTGGACTGAGACCATCACTTTTTTGAGAACTCAGTCTGTTTAATTTAGTGCAGACTCGAGTGTGATTGATGCTTTCACACCAACTAAACGATTCCATGGAAATAGAAAGTTAAAACAATACTTCAAGATACATTTTATGCCACACTGTGGAATATTATTAGTCGGGCTGGCGCCACCTACTGCCTCCGCTCAATTTAATTTCTCTCCAGTGACTAGGTCAGGAATCAGAATACACTAAACAGTTTGCAAGAACCACAGAAGTGTGAGTTCAGGCACCAGCCAATCAGCGAAGAGACAGACATTCTGTGTTGGCAACGATTCCGGAGATCGAGGATTTAAAGCTGGAACAAAGAGAATGTTTGGTGAATTTTATCACTTAACAAAACGTTATTGTCCTTTTTCCTATGGGATTTGGGAAAAGCTTAATATCCCAGTTAGTCCCGTTAGCGGCGCATTATGTACATCACGACCAAACAGCAGCGATTGGTTAATAAAAAAATAGAAAGGCTAGAATATTATAGCCAAAGGAACATTTCCATGGATACAAGCAGGAGAAGACCCTCCTCCAGGTCAAATAAGAGTCAGGTTTGTGGAGTATGTTTTTAGTGCATTTAACACACACAAAACATGCTTTAATTTTTGTATTTCTGTCCCAAAGTTGCACACTGTGGCTTTAAATGACTAATTCACAAACTTTATTTACAGTTGTTGAAAATGTGCTATAAAAATCAAATATATTATAATTACGTCACCAAAAACTCTCCACTGTCTTTTCTTTCTCCAGGTTTGTGATCCACCCGAACTCCGGCCTCATCTCCACTCAGCCCTGGACCAGCCTGGACGCAGAGGTCCGGTCCAAGTATAACTTCTACGTGAAGGCGGAGGATTCAGACGGGAGGTACAGTCTGGCCGAGGTCTTTGTGAGCGTCGTGGACATGAACGACCATCCCCCCGAGTTCAACGACAGACTGGTGGAGAAGACCATGATCATCGGCTCCCCGGTCAAAGTGGAGGTGAGGGCTTTGTCTGGGGGAACGTGTGGATCTGCAAGTGTAATTTAGCTCATTTAAAGGTGCATTTTGTGAGTTTTCTGGTGGAGGGTCCTTCACCTGCTTGTCTCCTAAAAAAAATGTTTTGCTTTGCTTGAAATGATCTAGCCAGGCTGGTCCCACCTGGTGCCTCCGCTCCATTTCATTCTCTGCAGAGAATTGGAATACACAACACAGTCAGCAAAAACCCTGTAGTTGTAGACCGCGCACCGACCAATCAGCTGTGAGCTGTGAAGTCATGACGTCAAACTCGTCACCTCTGTCTGTGTCCCTTTTGTGGAACAGCACAGCGAAGCAAAAACTAATCTAAATGTATGTTAGAGTGTTGGCACAGAGGACGCCAGCAGCACAGAGCAGACCTACCGCGACATGTGGCTGAAGTTTGCCTAATAAACGTGCACAAATACATCTGTGTTTGTCACGACGTGTGTTTGGTTTGGTAAATGTGCAGAGGTTAAATCCCACTGTAAAACTAGTAAGGCAAGTTTATTTGTACAGCGCAATTCGTACACAAAGTAATTCAAAGTGCTTTACAGAATAAGAAATACATTAAAATCATAATAAAAACAAATCAAAACATAAATAATCATGAAGATTAAAATTAAAAAAGAAGAGTGCGGAATGAAAACCTTTCAGTTATTTGCACAGTTAAACAGAAATGTTTTGAGTCTGGATTTAAACAGCGTCACAGAAGAGTCTGTCTCACATGTTCAGACTGTTCCAGGTTTTAGCTGCATGAACCTGAAACTCTGACTCCCCTTGTTTAGTCGTGACTCTGGGCACCAGCAGGAGTTGGTCCCTGAGCTCCTCAGAGTGTGAGATGTTCATATGACACTAACATGTCACAGATGGACTTTGGTGCTCGGCCATGGAGACACTTGTACAAGCAGAGCTGCTTTAAAGTCTCTGAGCCACAGGAGCCAGAGCAGAGACCTGAGCACAGGACTTATGTGCTCGTTTCCTAGTTCGAGTGTTTCTTGGATGTTCTGGATGTTCTGGATGTTCTGCAGCGTCTCACAGCTCGTTTGGAGAGACCAGTGAGCAGAACATTACAGTATCTAACCTACTGGAGACAAACGCATGGATAAGTTTCTCCAAGTCTGATTTAGACAGTAAACCTTTGATTTTTGCTATGTTTTTTTAGATGGTAAAAGGCTGCAGATGTTATTGATTTGATGTGGCTGTTAAAGTTCAAGTCTGAGTCCATTATTACCCCTAGATTTCTTGCCTGATTTGAAGGTTTTAGAGAGAGAGACTGGAGGTGACTGCTGACACTGTCCCTTTGTTTCTGTGGACCAAACACTATGACTTCAGTCTTGTCAGAGTTTAGCTGGAGAAAGTTGTTTTGCATCCACACACTGATCTGTTGGATGCAGTGACCAAGTGACTCCACTGGTCCATAGTCTCCTGCTGCCAGAGAGACGTAGATCTGAGTGTCGTCTGCATAATTGTGGTAGGACACGTTATTGCTGCTTATTAACTGGCCTAATGGCAGCATGTAGAGACTTGAACAACAGGGGGCCCAGGATTGACCCCTGAGGCACCCCACAGGTCAGGGCCATGTGATCTGAGACACAGTTTCCAATTTCAACAAAATACTTCCTGTCTTCTAGATAGGACTTTCTTAGTAAGTAACTACTTAGTACTAACCATGTAACTCCAGTTAGGAACTTGAAAAAACAGGTTTAAAAATCCTAATCACTGTCTTCACTTTTTTCAGTTTTCTGTAAAGTGCGATTGAAAGTTCTCTTAAAGAAGGGGTTCTTAAACTGAGGGAGAGGGTCCAAAAAAGAGGCGCAGAGTGTTTAAGTCCAGTACAGTTTGCTTGGCTTTGTAGTCGGTCGATCATTTTGACTTGGACATTTTATAAGTAGCTCGCATGCTGAAAAAGTGTGGGCACCCCTGGTCTAACCCAAGTCTAGACCAAGTATAAACCCGGACCTTTACACCGTTTTCTCTCCAGGCGATAGACGAAGACGCAGAATCCCCCAATAACCTCATCGAGTACTCCATAATGAAAGCGGACCCCGACAACGCCTTTGACATCAACTCGGAGACGGGGGAGATCTACCTGAAGCCTTATATAAAGTCCATGGAGATCGTGCAGAACATCACCAGACAGAAGGACTGCACCTGGTCCCTCGTGGTCCAGGCCAAAGACTTAGGATCCCCGTCCTTCAGCACGACGACGGTGGTCAACATCGACATCACGGAGGCGGTGAGTACAGAGCCGGGCCAATCCGGGCCAACGCTGTAGATAGGCCTCTGCTGTGCTACTGCTGCTGCTAATACACAACACACTGGTTCATTTCAAGAAAGCTGTTTTGTTTTGTTTTTTTTTTCCCAAAGGATAGCACTGGTTATTTGCAGTTGGTTATAATTTAATATTTACATCTATTACCAGTTACTTACACTTTTATATTTTTGCTCTTCCATATACATTTTAATACAGGGTGTCCCAAAAAATTTGACATCATTTCTTAAGCCAGTAATTTTGGCAGTTTTTGTTGAAATAATCTCAAATTTTCACAGAATGTACAGAAATAGATCAAGATTTTATATGTGATGTTTTACTTTTTGTTCTGTTTTCAAGGTTGAGCCATTCACTCCCAAAGAGAAGTAATTCTGTCCTTAACATTATTTTAATTTGACTTGCAAAACTCATATGAATTACATTTGTTTGGGTAGATGCGCATTTATAGCAAATACAATGGGACCTACGAGTGAACCCTGAGGAACCCCACAGAACAGAATTAAGATTTCGCAAATTAAATGTTACAATTTTTTCGAATCCATGTATTATTTGTTCATTTGTTTTTCAAAATAAAACAAAAAAAAAGAAAACGAAAAAAGAACTATTTTCTACTTTGTCTCCAAAACCAAAATGAAAAAAAAAAAAACAGATATTGATTCATTTTTTTCAGTTTTCGATTTTGTGTTTAAATGAAAAATGGAAAAAACAGATAACGGACTGAACCAGGACTGAACCAAGGCTAAAACCAGAACTGAAACTGGTCTCAGTCCTGATCTGGTCATGGTCTGGTCCTGGTCTGGTTCCTGTCTCAGTCCTTGTCTCAATTCCAGTCTGGTACCGGTCTCAGTCCCGGTCTGGTCCCAGTCTCAGTCTCGTCTCAGTCCTGGTCTGGTCCCGGTCTCAGTCTCAGTCCCAGTCTCAGTTCTGGTCTGGGCCCAGTCTCAGTCCTAGACTCAGTCCTGATTTGTCGTGGTCTGGTCCTGGTCTGGTCCCAGTCTCAGTCCCCATCTCAGTCTTGGTCCTCTTCCCGGTCTCAGTCCTGGTCTGGTCCTGGTCTCAGTCCCAGTCTCAGTCCTGGACTCAGTTCTGGTCTGGTCCCAGTTTGGTCCTGATCTCAGTCCTGGTCCTGTTCCTGGTCTCAGTCCTGGTCTGGTGCCAGTCTCAGTCCCTGTCTCAGTCCTGGTCCTGTTCCTGGTCTCAGCCCTGGTCTCAGTTTGGTCTGGTCCCAGTCTCAGTCCCAGTCTCAGTCCTGGACTCAGTTCTGGTCTGGTCCCAGTTTGGTCCTGATCTCAGTCCTGGTCCTGTTCCCGGTCTCAGTCCTGGTCTGGTGCCAGTCTCAGTCCCTGTCTCAGTCCTGGTCCTGTTCCTGGTCTCAGCCCTGGTCTCAGTTCTGGTCTGGACCCAGTCTCAGTCTCAGTCCCTGTCTTAGTCCCAGTCTTAGTCCTGGTTTAGTCCTGGTTCAGTCCGTTATCCGTTTTTTTTTTTTCCATTTTTCATTTAAACACAAAATCAAAAACTGAAAATCAAATCTTTACTTTTATTTTCATTTTGATTTTGGAGACAAATAATGAAGAAAATTGTTGTTTTTTCGTTTTCTTATTTTTGGTTTTATTTTGAAAAACAAATGAAGAATGAAACACAGATTTTTTTTCTTATGTATCTGCAGAAGTATTTACAGACATTTGCACAAGTCAAATTCATCAAAATAAACCACTGCTATCCTTTATACATATAATTTAACACATTTTATCTTTGTTTTTATCATTTTTTCATTTGTTGATTTTGCCATAACCCGCCTTGTCTCTCGTTCTTTGTCTTTGTCTCGTGATTTGTGGCTGTTTTCAGATCAAGGGCAGAATTATCACGTACTTTCGAGGCCTCAGCAAACGTCCGCTCACGGTGTTCGGGATCTGTTTCAGCATCCTCACCTCGTTCATTTTACTCACCGTCTGCATCTCCACCATTTTGTACTGTAACTCTGTGAAAAAGTCCAGAATCAACCCCGAAAGTAACTATATAAAAGTGATCCGGAGAGCCAAGTGATCACGGCGTGGACCATGTGTTCAACCAGCGGATTTTATAAGACTTGAAGAGACTATTTTTATAAGGTGTTGATTGAAAATGTCGTGAAGTATTTATAACTCTGAGTCCGCGGAGCAAAGGAGGGAGGCTGCTCTAGCTGAGGAACTTCACGGACTTTTTTCCCTAATAAACATTATGTACATTTACTGCAGGGTTGTTCCGATATCGGTGCTCGTATCGGCGAAAGCTCCGATACCTCACGTTTTTCAGGTACCAGTATCAGCAAGTACTCAGACCACTGGTGCGATACTACTCCGTATTTTCCACAGTGAGGACCTGTAGATGAGAACAAGTAGAAGGTTAAATGTAAACTATAAAAACTAAAAACACGTTGATAATGACAGAAAAGACATTTATCATTTGACACTCTTTGATACGTTCATTTAATCTTTAGTACAGGGTCCTGCACAGGGTCGGGCACCTGCAAGGACGAGCAAATAGTTGCTGAAAAAGGCTGGTTTTAACGTTCTGGAATTTTACAGGGCGGGTAGAGATTACACACGGGAGGGTCAGGACTAAACCAGGACTACACCAGGACTCATCTTGGACTTAAGAGAGAGAGAACCCCAAGCGAGAGAGAAAGTGCGATCGTGCATTGGCTGTACTTACCTCCGTGTGCGCGGAGATCTGCTCCGGTCCTTTCCATTGCGGTCACCCGACGGTCTACGCGGGCGCACCTCCAAGCCCGTCCCGACAGTGAGTCCTGGTTCAGTTCTGGTTTAGAACTAGTACAGTCCTGGTTCAGTCCTGGTTCAGTCCTGGGTTAGTCCTAGGTTCTCCTAGTCCTCTCCAAAAACAGACCCGTGCAGGACTTTAGTTTGGACGCTGAATTTAGTTAAAAAACTGCGTTATGGAGAGTGCGGCCTGTGAACAGAGGTAACAGCGGGGTCAGCTCTATGTTCCCTTATTTCTAAGATTTAAGTAAGTAAGTTTATTATTTATATAGAGCTTTACACAGACATTTGTCACAAAGAAGCTTTACAGTTCATTATTCATTCACTCCACACCCAGTGGTGGTAAACTACTATTGTAGCCACAGCTGCCCTGGGACAGACTGACTGAAGTGCGGCTGCCAGTCTGCACTATCTGTCCCTCTGACCACCACCATCACTCACGCACACTCCACTTTCATACTTGACAATGAGGATGAAGTGTCTTGCCTAAGGACACAATGGCAGTTTTTACGACTGTCGCCCTCCTGTGGCTCCTGATTTTCCCAGTGTCTCTCATCCAAGTCCAGATCAGGCCCAGACCTGCTGAGCCTCTGAGATCTGACGGGATCAGGATTTGACAAACCGGTGTGGACAAAATTAAACTCTAAGTCAAGTCATTTTTATTTTTACACTGCATTTAAAGAGATGATTCAGAGTCATTTCAACCTGGAATCCTCTGCACCGTGACCTCTACATTACATCTGTATTCATCTGCTGCTGGAGAATAGTTTGGGTGTAACTGACGACCAAAACTGGGAGAAATGGGGATAAATTCTGATACAAATTGATGATAAAGGAAATGTGGGAACATAGACGCTGGAACACAGACACACTCCTGCAACAGCACTAACTCGGACTTTGTTTACTCTGTCCATATCCATGCTCTCTGAGGATGAGCGTCTTTTTACAGGCCTCCCTGTTGGTTTTATCCACACTGTGATAGAAAGTATCAGACGTTTGGAAACATGTGATGAAACTTCCGGTGTAGTTCCCGACTCTGGGCTCGTGATCAAACCCACTGAAGTAAATGTGATCAGCGGTAAAACGAAGACTGCAGACGTATGTGCTGTTTAGAATCATTTTGAATTTGTCGCCTCGTCTCTTCTTATCGCATGTTCCCAGTGCACTCAGAGTCGTGTGTCGGTGGGGAAATGATGAAACCTGAGGTCTGATTGGAATTGTTGATTCGCCGAACATAACCGAACACTACAATGACCTGGAGATGAAGAAAACTGGGACATTTTCAGATTTTTCTTAGATTTCGTCAGAATTACTACACAGAATCCAAACAAAGTCGTCATCGCGTGTTTCCAAACGTCTTCCTGGTTTGTGAGCGTGAATAGAGTTTATTAGAAAAGTATACATCAGGGTTATGACTTTTTGAACTTTTTTTTCCAAAATCAAAGTCCTGCATCATGATTGGATGAACTTTTTGGTATTTGAAGAAACCAAACTCCATTTTCAACACTCTTTTAAAAAAGTTCCCCCGAAACCAAAAAAATACTCAATACACATTACAGCCGATGATATGAAATGCAAAACCGTGCTAAGTTCTCACAAGGGTCATGACAAGTCCATTTGACTGAAAATGGATCAATAATAAGTTGTACTGCCGTCAGAATATACTGGAGTTTCACTTTCTATTCTTGCTTTCACTTTATAAACCATTCGATTCGTCGTTGCTCAACCAACACTGACAATCATCATGTTTGGACTTTTACTGGCCTATTTTATATGATCTTTATTTGTTCCTGTGTGATTAAAGAGAAAATTGCCTTTGGTTATTTTACGATTGAACAGATATTAACCTTCTAACAAACTTTTTCACTCGAGGGCCACAAAGGGTTCTAAAATTTGATGGAAGGGCCGAACCAAGAGCAGATGGATGGAGTTTTTTGGCAATCCACCTCATAAGAGAAAAAATAACATGGGATATGTAGAAACTATGTCCCATGTTATTCAAATATCCCATAATTGAAAATCATTACAAAGTTCTACAACTAAATATCTGTCTTTCAAGTCCCATGGTATTTACTATTTATTGAAAAGAGTTTGAAAAACACTGAAAATTATTATTATTATTATTGTTCTTAAGAAGATTAAAGGGCCGCATATGGCCCCCGGGCCGTAGTTTGCCCACCCCTGTTCTAACAGTTTTATTCTGGTTGT